AGTGCGATGTCGAACTATCCCTATGGGGCGAGCATCTACCTGAACGCTGGCTACCGCTGGTCTGCTATTCAGCAAAGGGCGAGCCCCTGATCACCTACAGCCGCATCTCAACCTGCGTGGTCTGGAACTATTACCGCGCTGCGCGCGTTCTGTGCCAACAGCTTCTGCTCACCCTCATCACGATAAGTAGCGACTCGCATCCTCCATCTGCCCCCGCTGTCGACGCGGCCAGTCTGCGCGCGGTCATTCAAGACATGACTACCGATCTCTGCCGCAGCATCCCTTTCTCTTTGGGGGATGTTGATTCCCTCGGCCGCCCTACTGTAGGTGACGAGGCTCATACGGCCCAGACCCGTCTCGGCGGGTACGGCATGCTCTGGCCGCTCTGGTACGTGCTGCGCTATGGCTTGCCTACCCCGGCGCAGGTCACCCAGATCCGACACGTGCTTGTGCGTGTCGGGTCAACCATGGGAATCAAATTGGCTTTGCTCCTGGCGCGTGAGGCTGAGTGTTTGCATGGCGGGGATGCAATATCGGAAGAAGCATGAATTAATTGTATATATTTTCTTACTTATGGCGCCAGGGATGGACTCGCCGCTCTGGATAGAGGTGGTTGTACCTGATCATAGTATTTCGCTCTTCTCCAGTGTTTACGGTGGATAATACTGCTCCGGCCGTTATCTATGCGGTGACGTCACCACCTACACCACCTGGGCAGTATCTTCCACGCCTATCGGCATGCTTTCTATCCTTCGCCTAACGAGACAGGAAAAGATCAATTGCACTCGAAAAATCCTCTATCAGAGGATATAACACCCCCTAACTCATGATAATTGCTAGGACATGGCGATCGATCTGGGCCGATCAACCCGAGCCCCATAAGCCGGCTTAGCCGTTCCCGTCGCCGAATGGAGTTATGCTCTTGTGCATTCGGAGGTGCAGGGATCTGACGCCATCATGGTAACTAGTACATATTTCCGGGCAGGGGCGCTGTTAGGTACAACCTTCTCCCCTCCCCAACCTCCTCCTGTCCCCTCCTCTTTCTGTCACTCCCACCATGGCACTGCAAGAGCGCAAGCTTCCCTTTGGGAAGATTGAGCCCTACTCGAGCAAATATTTCTACAGCTGTGCTCTCGGCGGCATTATCGGTAAGCTTCCCCTCATTTTACCCATTGCTCCTGATCGTGCCCACTAATTGATGATTATTCCAGCTTGTGGTATGTGGCGCGATAGCACCGATCCAACCGGATAGTTACTGATCTGCGCAGGACCAACCCACACCGCTGTCACACCCCTCGACCTCGTCAAATGCCGTCGCCAAGTCGACCCAAAGATCTACAGCTCCAACATCTCAGCATGGCGCTCCATCTTCGCCAAGGAAGGCCTGCGCGGCGTGTTCTTCGGCTGGTCGCCCACCTTCCTGGGATACTCGTTCCAGGGCGCCGGCAAGTACGGCCTGTACGAGTACTTCAAGTATCTGTACGGGGACCAGATGTTCCCGCAGAGCAACCGCACCCTGGTCTTTCTGGGCGCCAGCGCCAGCGCCGAGTTCTTCGCTGATATGGCGCTGTGTCCGATGGAGGCCATCAAGGTTCGCATGCAGACGACTCTCCCGCCCTATGCGAATAACCTGCGAGAGGGGTGGAGTCGCATTGTCACGAAGGAAGGGCTTAGCGGCCTCTATAAGGGATTGTATCCGCTGTGGGCGCGCCAAATTCCCTACACGATGACCAAGTTCGCCACTTTTGAGAAGACCGTGAGCATGATTTACAAGACTATGGGCAAGCCGAAGGAGAGTTATGGACAGTTGGCCCAGACTGGTGTGAGCTTTGCGGGTGGATACATTGCGGGTATCTTCTGTGCTATTGTCAGTCATCCGGCGGATGTGATGGTTAGCAAGCTGAATGCGGATCGCCAGGGTGAGTATATTTCTCTGCCCCCTTAAAAGCCTAGTGCTAATTGTTTCGTGCAGCGGGCGAGGGCGCTATGAAGGCTGTATCGAGGATCTATGGCAACATTGGCTTCTCTGGTCTGTGGAACGGATTGCCTGTCCGAATTGTCATGCTGGGCACCTTGACGGGCTTCCAGTGGCTCATTTATGACTCGTTCAAGGTCTTCCTGGGTCTTCCGACGACGGGAGGACACTAGATTAGACATTTTGTGCGGAATGCATTTGTTATGATTACAAAAACACCAATGCTGCAGCCCTGGCTGTCATAATCGCCAGAAGCCCCGACGAAAACGCAAATAAGCTGAATCGAACCATGAGCGTATTACTCGTGACGTGCACCAAACTGTGCAGTATGCGCGTGCCAGTATACATCCAAGCGAGGAGGACATCCATATCCTCAACCTGGCCTCCACGGGCAATCGCCAACGTAAGGCTGAGGGCGTAGAACTGGGTCGGTTGTTCCATCAGGTGGTTGTAGTTGTCCCGTTTCCAGCGTGCGGGCGCGGGTGTCTGGGCGTCGAGCTGGCTCTTCGTGATGGTGTTTTGGAGGTTCAGCTTCTGCATGACTGGGATGTTGACCGCGTACATCCAGACTTCCATCGCGAGTGTCCATGCGTTGAGGGCGATGACGGGGCCTAGAAGGCCTGAGGCTGTGGCTTGTAACATTTTGGATTGGAGTCAAATAGGAGAAATATATCTTTTTGGTCCAAATGTGCTCATGACAGGAAATGTTCTCTGGCCTATATATCCGCTGCTCCAGGCAGATGTATTTGATCCCTCGGATCATTTTCCAATTGTGGCGGTGGCTTTTTCACTAGCGCCTTTTAATCTGCTCATTTGTGCTTGCGGCAGTCCGAAGAGAACGCCAAGTATGTACGATGAAGAATCATGAAGGTCGTTCGAGCCGTCTGTAACATCGAGCCGTCTGTAACATCGATCTCAACATACTAGTTAAGCACTGAAAACCAGGTCGGTATACTTATCTGCTGTTGTTTATGCGATCGCCAATGTCTCTTTAACTTCCACACTGGGCTCGAGACCTTTGCAGATTCCCAAACATTCTTCACCTCCTTTGTGTCTTGGGCGTTGCTATTCGACTCGATCTGCATAATCAAAACCCTTTTTCCTCTGGTTCATCCTTATCACAGCTGATGAACACATTTTCGTGTGAGTACCACCTATTCGTCTTCCAGGGCTGGGGCTCCTCGTCTTGACGAGTGACGGGAAGAGCTGCGGTGGAGGTGCTAGGACAGCATATTTCGTCAGAATACCGTATGGGCACAAAGCTGAAGCGTAGCAAACTGAAATATACCCCCCATAAACCCGGAAAGGGAAAACTGTTCGATTCTATACTTCGTGATCCTCACCGCCCACGATAACGGCAGAATATCAGTGTTTGAGATGCTTCGAAGGCCTCACCTCGATCCTTTCCTCCCACTCCATCCATCGGCATCCCTCGCAATCTTCATCCTACCTCCCAGAATTCCGATATTCCTATCAATCATCTCCAATTGTTCTACTGAGATCGCCCGATTCGACCACCCTCACCTCGAACCCTTACCTCGACTCTTCACAACACCCTCACAATGGAAGCTGCCCGACCACAACCACAACCGCAACCCTCACATCCAGCCGCTAATCCTCCAAGCGTCGAAATAGCCTACAAGCGCAAATGTATCGCGCTCAAAAAACGCCTCGCAGAGGTGGAGGCCGAGAATGAACTCATGCGCACGCGCAACCGCCGCGGATGGCAGTACATCCAAAAAATGCGCCTCGAGTCATGCATGCTGCTCGAGCGTCTTGCCAAAGTCACCGGCATGGCAGAGGAGGCCAGATCCGACGCCGCGGCGGATCCAGATCTGCGTGCTCGCGCCGCAGCCATGATGTCCAATGCTGCCGCGCTGAATGGCCTTGTTGGACAGGGGCAGCAGCAGGGCAATGGGACTCATCTGGAGGATGATACGGAAGGAAGCTCGGATGAACAACCTCCTACTGTACGTTGTGCTTTCGTTGTCTTTTTGACCACAGCTGACCCCCAATACAGCCCGAAGAACGTCCCCTCCGCGTTAAGCGCTCGCGCAAATCAAACGTTAACCTCGACGACGGCCCTGAAGACAGTGCCCCCGCCGCCGAGAGCGCCACGCAATCTGGCACTGGTGGAGGCGAACTGCCACGCCTCGCCCCGGCCCCGACACAGGAAGAACTCACCTCCTCGTTCCGCATCCAGACAGACCGCAACGGGTCTGCCCCTGAGGGAGGAGACCGGACACCCGCCGCAGCGAGTGCACACAGCAATGATCGCCGCGAAAGTCAGCAGGCTGAGTCCCGTCCTGCAGAGGCGGCTGCTGAGTCTGGGACGACACCGATGGACATGGATACCAAGGAGCCGAAGGTGGAGCAGACCTGAGTCTTCATTTTTTTTTTTTTTTTTTTAATTTAATTGTGACATGCTCGGGATTCATACAGCGTCGGATACAGATGGATTCTTTGTCTCAATTTGGTTTCAGGGGCTGGTTGGTTTGCGGACTGGGGGTTTGGTTCGCTTCTTGTTTGCAATCACTCTCCCTCACCGGAGTTGCTTCGTTTGGGGTTGGGTTTTCTATTTTGCATTTTTGACCTATAAGAGGAACAATACCATACTTTTTCTGCGCGGACAAGATCCAGTCAGGGCTAATTGGAGGTATACCTCCATGTGGTATATGAAGGGGTGATGGAATACCTATGGACACCACAGGCACCTAGTGCGCAAAGCATTTCTCCTACAGTGAGGGAGATGGACATTCCGGGCACAACATAGGTCCAAAATGTAGTGCCACTAACCCCGAGAGGAAAGAAATGACGTTCTTTCGCGCATATCCTCTTTCATGAGCGGATACCAGCATCTTGCCGTCCATTTTCTCCTTCCGTATCTGCGCGTCCAAAGCAAATCAATCCATCTTTCATACGGAAAACTACATAGTATACTATGACGGAGCCTGGAAAACTCAGGTACTGAATACCACAGATTAGAAAGATGGGTAGAGGAAATGTGGCGTGAGATGAATTAAACTTACTTTGCATCCTCTCCCTCGTCAGAGACCTGGTATTTTTTGAACTGCCTAGTTGGTACGTTGTTTTCGAACATGATATCCAACTCCTTGTACGTTCTATCCTTGGTCTATGACCCCTCGAGGTTAGAAAGGCATTAAATGAATCGCAATGGATTACATACCTCTGGCAACCGAAAGTAACTCCATATCAATGAAAATACCGAAATACCCCCAAAAACGAATTCAATTTTTGCACCAGCGTTGATGGCTCCGGGGTTTAGGAAAAAAGGACCCAGAATGTCGAGAATTAAGTATGAGAGGCCATTGATAGTTGCGGTGAGCGACAGTGTTCTTGCCCGTAACTTGGATGATGGAACCTCGCTCGAGATAGTGAATCCCAAGGGTCCGATCGTCAGTGCAAACACAAACTGAAGACTAATAAGCATTACCGCCTGAGCCCAGGAGTATGAGGGTGTCGAGTTGTAGTTTCTCGCAAAACATAGAATAGCCACGATCCACATAATGGCCACAGAATAGCTTAGCCCGATCAACCAGGATATCCGTCTTCCAAACCAGGCCAATGGAAACACACACAAAAGGGTCCCGACGAAGGAGACCGCGTTGAGGGCGACGCCCATGTCGAATGCTTGCTCGGCGTTCAGACCAACCTGCTCGAACAGATATGTAGCAAACCCAGTCGGATTGCCGGCGAAGTTCTGAACAACAAAGAGCATAGAGCAGATTTCAAGCCGTCTTCGGTTGGACCCCTTGAAACAATCCCGGTAGGTTGTACCGAGTTCCTGCTCACGTTCGTATAGATCTGTCTGTGCCATCATAGCCAGCGTATTGGTATTCTGAGCTTGGATAGATTTGTTCGTGAGTTGATCGAGAGATCTCTTTGCATCTTCCAGGCGATTCTGTCTCATCAACCACCAGGGTGATTCGGGCGCCCAGATTAATCCAATCAGTAGGATCACTGGCCACACCCATTGGATCGCGTACGGAATTTTGTACGCCCATTTGTCCGCTCGATTGACAAACCCTCGGGTAATTCCTGTTTGAAGGAACTGGCCAAGGGTGTAGCATAGTTGAACATAACCCGTGAAATATCCCCGAAGACGCAGAGGCAAAACTTCCGATGCATATGTCGGGGCTAGGACATGATATCCTCCCCAAATGAGACCTGCCAGGTACATAGACGTCGTCAAGACACGGATGTTCGTCGCGAAGACTTGCATGAATATTAATGCAATGGTGGCGCATAGGTATAAAGCCAAGGTCTTCTTTCGACCGATTCGATCCATTGGAATGGCGCATGCCCATGCTCCGACAACTTGCCCTACAATGGGGCCCATAGACATCGCCACTTGCCATTTGGCCGGGATTTGATATCCGCCACCAGGAGACTTTTCGCCGAAATGCTTCTGAAAGGCTGGCAAGGCATAGAAATTGCCAGTAATCTCGATGTCGTATGCTCTCATGATAATACACAAGGAAAAGAATAACGACCAAAGGGCACCGGATCGATGCATTTTGAGTGCTTGCCACGTCGAGATATTATGCTCGGCCTGTGTGGCTTGATCGGCCATCTCTTGGGTAACGGTATCCAGCTTGCCGCCATGCTCGATAACCTGCTGCAACTCCCCTCCAGCGGAGTGCACAGTCGGGAGCTCCTCGGTGGGATCTTGACTTCCCATGGCGTGTAATTCTTCGGAAGTATTGCTCAAAAGTAGGAAAGCAAACACGCAGTCAGGCTGAGAATTGACAATTCCTCGAGTGAAAGTGGGCTATACGGGCCCTTAATACTTTTAGTTGGTCTTGTGTCTCTCATTATTCCTCCTAAAGTTTACCCCGCACAATGGACCTGCTAACTAGTTCGAAGTCGAGCTCCTTTATCCTTAAGAGTTGGGGGAGAAGCCGATTGGCCACCAACTTGCTAGAGAAAATTCTGCGAATAAAGCATACGAGATAATAAACAGCCAATAAAGGCACTAACTATCAGCCTTGCCGCTACGTAGGGCTCGGAGAACATATGCTCATATACGCTATCACAACATCTCCAACATTCAAAACATGGGGAGTATGTTTCGCCGAAGCTCCATGTTGGCTTGTAAGATAGAACAAATACATCAGTTTTTTTGATTGAAATTCCGCGTCTACAATCCAACGAACTTACAATATGTCCTGCCCTGAATCGATTTTGCTTCTTCGATAAGACGTCGGCTGTCTGGATTCGGGAAGCGATCGCGTATCTGCCCTGTGGAGATCAGTGATCCTTATTTACTGTGTAACCCAATCAAAAACTACCCGACGGGTATTTTATTTGAGCTGGCCTAGACTGCCCAGATTGCCATCTCCCGAACTGCGGTTTGAGTTTCCGAAGGGCGTTAAACTCGGTTACTCAATGCAGTCTTTCCAACCTGGCTGGGCTATTTTTCAAAATATACCAAAGCTCTTCGACGACGGCCAATTCATACTGTTTGTTTATCACCGATAACTGCATACCTTAACGCCATGACTATTAGACAACTCAGTCCTTACGGTAAGCCAATGCTGAAGCATTGGTTGTTTGACCCCGCTTACAAAAACCTCAACCACGGTCTGTACAAGAAGTGGCCTTTGAGGAGAATACCCAAAGAATAACACCCCATAATCAGGTTCTTATGGTGCACACCCTGCTGTCGTTCGTAATGCACAGCGGGCCTATCAAGAGCTCGCCGATGGGCGACCGGATCGATATGTCCGTCAACTACATGCAGAGCTTCTGGATGAGGCGCGCCAGGATCTCGCAACGCTCATCAATGCGTCCAGAGACGAATGTGTCTTTGTCAGAAACGCCACCACTGGCGTCGCTACGGTTCTATATAACCTGAATTTCCAGCCCGGGGAAGCGGTCATTTACTTTGAACCCGTTTACGGAGCCGTGGAGAATGGGATCACCTCTCTGAAAGAGCACACTGCCCTCCAGGCTCGGAAAGTGCATTTTCAGTATCCTATTTCCGAGGAGGCAATTGAACGCCGATTCCGCGAGGTTGTCCTCCAAACTCGTCAGGAGGGCCTCAAAGTTCGCGCCGCAGTCTTCGACACAATTCACAGCGTCCCCGGCGTTCGATTTCCCTTTGAGCGTTTCGTCGGTATCTGCCGCGAAGAGGGCATCTTGAGTGTAATCGATGGTGCACATGGCATTGGACAGATTCCTCTTGATATGAACACGCTACAGCCTGACTTTCTTGTCTCGAACTGCCACAAGTATGGGCGTCTTGACTCTGCAATATTCGGTTTATATGCTGACTTTATCTCTCAGGTGGCTATATACTCCTCGTAGTGCTGCTGTTCTCTACGTTCCTAAGCGCAATCAGCACTTTATGCACACTACTCTTCCTACCTCGTGGGGGTTTATCCCTACAGCCGACTCTCCTCATACCCCCCAAAACTCGGAGAAAAAATCTTCTTTCGAGGAACTGTTTCAACTAGTCGCTACTGATGACTACTCCGCGTACATTTGTGTAGGAGCGGCATTAAAATTCCGCAAAGAAATTTGCGGCGGCGAAGACGCCGTCATGCGATATTGCCAGATGATAGCCAACGAAGGAGCGGACATTGTCGCAGCCGCTCTTGGAACCAAGGTCCTCCAGGAGCCCGATTTGAAGCCCGGAGAGGCCAGTCAGATGCGCGCGTGTGCTCTGACAACCGTGCAGTTGCCGATCGCGGTTGCGGGCGATCAGGATGGCGCTATGCCTTCTGGTGCTTCTGTAACTCTAACTCCAGAGGAGGCGGATCGGGCTTCTGAATTTTGTCATTGGACTCTCTTGAGGAAATATGATACTTTTGTGCCTGTCTTCCGGCATGGGTCGTGGCTGTGGACGCGGTTGAGCGGTCAGGTGTATCTGGAGAAAGCTGATTTTGAATGGCTGGGAGGTGTCCTTGGCGAGTTGTGCGAGCAGATTGCTCGAAAAGAGTTTCAGTAGGATTATCCAAAACAAATACCATCAATACAGATATTATCTAGCGACACCCATAGGCTGTTCATGTGATGGGGTTCAGAAGTTTAGCATAGAAGGACAGGTATCTACTAGAGTAGCCCTTTTCTGCGAACATCCATCTGTTGAGACTGGCTACCTATATACATGAAAAAGAATGCCAGTTGTGCGTGTGTGTACAGGTCAAATCAATCCATCTCGCATACCATAAGCCATTCCTCCCAGAACATAACATAGAGAATAACCCGGAGCCGCGCCAACTCCGATACCATCAGACAAGGAATAATTGAAACAGGGTGTGCATCCCAGCATTTTAATGCAAAGCTGCGCACAAATTCGTAGTTTGGAACGAAGTGTTGAAGTAATAATGTAGGCAGAGAAGAGAAGGACGTGTGACGGGAAGGAAACTGACGGTACGGCGACTAATCTACACCGGCGTATAGATCGACGACGATATTAATTGCTGCCACAAGGATCTCCGCGGCAATCAAAACAATCACTGTGCATCGTGTTAGCTTCCACCACATGCTGCCCAAATAGTAATGCTAAGCTTACCGATCCATTCAAGATACTCGCCGTGGCGGTGTGTCAGCTGGTCTTTCAGCACGGCCAGAAGATCCGCAATGACATCCAGCCGCTCTGTCAGGAGACTAACCCGCTGGTCCATTTCCAGGTAGCTACGAACGGCCTGGTAGACGGGCTCCAACTGAGGTTCAGCCCAAAAGAGTTCAGGACTGTCCAGAACAGACCCCTGCAAATGGATGTTGATGCGCAAGATAAACAGCTCTCCAATCTGCATGTTGATCTGCCGGCGCGTGAGGTTGACACTGCCCGTCTGTGCAATCTGAGCCGGTAGCGGTGCGGTGTCAGAGATGGTTTCTGACACCAGATCCTCGAATAGAGAGGTCTTGACGGACTGGGCAAGAGCATGGGAGATGGCCAGTTTGATCATGTGGTTGCGCGGCTCGCGCAGCGAGATAAAGTCATTGTATATCCGTGCTTGGTACTCGCGCGCATAGTAGAAGTTGAAATTCTCGATCTGTGTGTCATCCGAGCTTAAGATCGATGTCGCAAATTTTGATATATCTGACAGGAAACGGGATTCGTGCGCGGGTGTCATTCCCCAGATGACAACGGTCCCATAGTCAAACAAGAACACTTCTGGCGTGTGGATTGTGGTATCGATATCGGGGGTCTCCTCTGGTTGCGGCGATGGAACCAGGTGGTCCGTATTAACATTGGCCGCCTCGGATTCATGAAACTCCATGAGGTCTTCGCGTCGAGCTTTGGTGTTGTCCTCCACCTCCACCGCGCTGTCCGAGTACCTGCGCTCACTGGGGCGTCTCTCATGATGGTTGCCCCCGGAGCTAGGAAAAAGACGACTGCTCTTTTGCTTCTCTTCGTACTGATAGTCAAAAGGCGAGTAGACGCACTCGTCAAACAGCTTGGGATTAGCTCCCCGGGTTTTGGCCCGTGACTTGAGGAACTTGATGACCCCCTCGAGTCGATAGGAATTGGCCGTGCAGTAAGCCGTCACGCGCGGGATACGGTCTCGATCGGCCTTGCCCAGTCGCGCAGCATGGCTTCGTGCCGCAGGTTCCTTTATCCGGGTGATCTGCGAGTAAACATCGCGCGGGAAGTCGCCATCAGATTCCTCTTCTTCTGCCGTCACTGGATCTGGGAGTAGCTTGAGTTTCTGCGCCTTCTTGGTTGTTCTCTGCGGTCCAATCTTCGGGGCTGAGGGTGAGGTGCTTGCTAGGGGAGCGCCATGACTGTGGCGACGACGGAGCTTGCTGTTCAACGCGGAGAGCATGGGCTGGCTGCCCACTCGAGGATGGGTGCCCTGGGCGGTGACATTCCATACGGGAGGAGAGCTAGCCTGCAACGGGCGAAAGGTGGGATCGGAGGTGGTGGTGGTGCCGCCGTACGTGCTGATTGTCGTCAGCGGGTTGAAGGTGACCGACCGGGGCGGCCGGGAAGTCCGTGGCGATGAATTTGCCTGGTTCTGGGGCAGAAGGGGGGATTCTTCTGCGGAGGAAGCCATGGCCAGGGTTATGCGGCCATTGACGGGGGGAAGAAGAAAGAGAGGTCGAAAAGTCGAAGCTCACGCACGGGCTTATTAATGCGTCATTCACCGACCGTTGAACCATGTACAAGTATGGGACCCAGCGCACGATTATTTACGATTGCAATTACTGCGTATATTGTAATGAGATGCATTTGATTATTTTCCTGGCGTTTCATCGGTTCCACCACCTCCAGTTCACCGGCGCACAAACCCAGATGAGCCACCTGCTGTCCGCCGCAGGCCATTGACCTGGCCCGTACTGCGCGGGTGCTTGAGCCAATTGTCCTTGATATTCCGACCAGCTTTTGAGATCTTGGGAGCCAGGCTCGGCTGCGAGTTTTTCTTCTTGGTCGACGGCGCATCCAGAACTCGAATCGCAACGTCCCCAATTTGCACATCCTTGGGCGCTTTGTCGGTCTTGTCCAAGAACCTCAGCTTGTTGGGCTTCTTTCGCCCCCCGATTAGATCCTCGGCTGGAGGTGTAGGGGGCCGCTCGACAGGCACCGCATTCAGGATGTCATCGGGGAGCAAGGCGGGAAGGGCACGGCGTCGCACATCGTGGGTGGTTGAGCCCTGCAGGGTGGTCGTGCTCTCGGACTGTAGGTCATCGACCGGTGTGCTGGCTTCGTTAGCCTTTGCGGTCGATTTGGCCTGCAGTTTTCGGCGCTCGTCGAGTTTCCGCCGTTTCTCTTTTTTCATCTGTTCCTCTCTGTACTCGTATGTTAGCGAGAGCGGGGGTCGGAGAAAGGTGAGACAAAACATACATTTGCTTCGCCGCCTCCAATTTCTTTGCGTGTTCCTTGATCTTCAATAGTTGGGCCGAGTTATCGATCGCTTCCGGCGCATCGTCGTCGCTATCATCGTCATCCCCTATCTGGTTTTGTGTCTCTGAAATCTCTTCCAGTTGTGTTTCCTCGGGCAGCTCGGGCTCTTCGCTGTCGAATCTCATATGCTTGGTCGAGGGTGCAGTGGGAGTTTGGTCTTGTCCATCTAGTGTTGTCTCCGTTGCCTCAAGGCTGTCCCTCTTTCTCCGCTTAGCCTGCTGGCCCTCTGCCTTCTTTGTGGTTGTAGACTCTGCCTTGCGTTTTCCGTTCATTGCAGGCCCGGTCGCCGGTTTTGCGGCACCAACGACTCCTCGCCTTGTTGCGGACACCATCGTTGGTAGATCGTCGGCTTCGTGTTCGTTTCGCGCAAAAAGACCTTTTGCTGCGGTGACCAGGTGGGAAAACATAGAGGGGAAGCGTTGGGGAGAGGCAATAATGCTGGTGGTGCAGCTGCGCTTAGAAAAAAAATCATCGGAAGGGGGATTTTCCGGCTCCGATCTATATATCTCCCAGCGATACGGTCGTCTTGATTTTTGACAGATACGTAACATGATAGTGCTAAGTCTATGAACTCGAAAAATGTGGGAAGCGCACTTGCCTTGATACTCATTGGTCAATCCTCGGACGATTCTGCCTTTACCTTCGTCACACTCATTCGGCATACGTGCTCTACTTCGAGATGCCAAGAGACCCACCCTCTCATTCGTAGCACCTTGAGACCGCTTTTAGAAACAAGGAATAGACCTACTAGGCTAATTGCTATTCGCGAAGCTAACTAGTCCCCAAACTGAAATCAATAATCAGCTTTCCTTCAACCCCTTCGTGGTGTCGCGCAACCAAGTCGTTGAGACGTGGCAAGGCAAATGACTGGGAAACACACTTGACTCCATGCTCATTGGCAAAAGCGAGCATTTCGCGTAGGAGTGCATTGCTTCCCACCAAACTACCAATGATCGAAATGTGCCGAAAGACAATGTCTTGCGTGGAGAAGGTAAACCCGCTTGTAGGAAAAGACACCACCACGCATGTACCCCAGTTCTTCAGCAATCGGATCCCATAATCAAATGCCGCTTGTGATTCGGGGAGAATAACCGTGGCGTCAACCCCCAGTCGTCCTTGCTCAGCAATGCCATCTTCGTTTCCTATCATTTGAAGAACTTCGTCGGCGGCAGTTTTCGTCGCGTTCACTATCAGGGAATCCGTCGCTAGTCGCTGAGAAAGCGCAACAGCAGGCACTGATGTATCAACACCAACAACCTTGAGGCCCATCTTCTCTGCGAACTGAATGCCCAAGTGGCCCAGACCTCCGCCGCAGCCTAAAATGGCAACTCGATCTCCTTGTCTAAGTTGACAGTTTTTCAAGGCCGCATATATAGTCAGCCCAGCGCACATCAGCGGAGCAGCGTCCACGGCGCTCATTCCAGCGGGGAGCGGTGCGACCTGTCGCGCATCTACCACGGCATATTGCGCAAATCCTCCCGGGACACTGAGGCCGAGGTTTCTGGCCTTGGGACAATACACTGAATAACCCTTGCGGTCGCTGGGCTGGCCGTGATTTGGCGTCTCTCGCTGACACTCGTAGCACCTGCCGCAGGGATGAAAAGCTCGGCCTGGGACACCCACCCGGGTACCAATCTGAAATGTGGCAACCGAGGAGTCACTTCCTGCTAATGGTTTGTGTATGTCTGCCACCGTTCCCGCGAATTCATGGCATCCGATGTGCGGCCACTGTGTTGGAGCGTTTGCATGGCCATCAAACCCGCCAGTCGCGCATACTGTATCAGTGTGGCAATATGATGCAGCTTCCACCTTTATTAGAAGGTCATATGGCGATGTTATTTTCGGGAGAGGCACATCCGTGAAGACATAGGGTTCGTTGTAGGCTTTTAGAACTTGTGCCTTCATGGTTGGAGGCAGACAAGCCATTTTGCATACCAGTCTTCCTAGGGAATGTGAACAATAAAGAACGGTACTTTGACAGCCAATTGTATCGCCTGATGTTTCAAAAGAATATACTCCTTGTCCCCACATGGGGAACAATCTTTCCCCGCATCTACTTTTCATCCCCAATCACAATACTTTCGAGTCTCGGGGTAATGGACGTCGTGTCTTTGTACTGACTACTAACCAAATCAGAATATCATTATTATCTGTAACAAGTGTTTTTTCTCCTACATACGGATCATATCTGCATTGATCTCGAAAGCCAACCGCGGCAAGTATTCAAAGCAAGTACTTAAAATTCAGTCCACGATCAGTGGGATGCCACAATTCCGGAACGCCAGATTCTTCATCACGTCCTAACTTGGCCCTTGCCTCATCCTTCGACTTCTCTCTCCGATGATAGATTACTCTCATAATGCTGCATCCAATAAAAGCAATCGCCAGAGACCCCAAGCTCCAAGAATGGCCCAGGACGTATCTTGGCTCAGATGTGCTTTGATAGATCTGACCCGCGATGATGCCACCAAGGTTTGTTAACGTAAGCTGAATTCCCAGACTGGCTGCTCTTTTCCCGTCCGGTGCGCAATTGCTGGAGAGCCAGGCGATGTTGCCGCCAGTGGCCAAGAAACAGGGAGTTGCAACCAGGAACATAGCGAAATAGAGGACCCCGACGGGAACGTTGAATACCAGCAGTATAGCATATCCAGCAATACCGAACGGAATAGTGGTAGCAATGACGAGATAGCGGGCATTGTAGCGATCAGATAAAACCGCACCAATTCCATATACAATTGCGCCCCAGAGATTCACTGGCAGAGTTAGCATAGACACTCCTGCTCTGCATCTGGATTTGCTTACCTGGAATTGTTAGATACTGCGCCTGTTTGGTTGTATAACTAAACCCGTCTTTCAAGATAATCGGAAGAAAGGTACCAAATCCTACCCTCAATGAGTCACTGTAATCAAGTATTTCAAGCGGGATACACACCATATAAGATAGTAACCACACAGATTTGGCTAACGCCATGGATCCAAGTTTTGATATCTTTGGCTGCAAGCTTTACATCTGCCATTTTGTAATGGCCTTGACCTCCACTGTAAGCTCGAGACTGCTCGTCACGATATCTCATGAGTTGTTTTTCGTCCGGACTCAGAAAATATGCAGTTTCGTAGTCCTTTGGCACGAGGAATACACAACAGACCGCGAATACCATTGTAATGAGCCCTTCGAGGATATAAAGCCTGTTTTTGTTAATATTTCCCTTTTCTAAACAATGGGGCAGAGAACTGACCAGCGCCATCCAGGATAACCCGCGGTACCATCCATGTACAGAATGCCAAACGCAATCAACCCTCCAAACGCACCAGAAAGAGCAGATGCGACTGCAGAATAATGTTAGATAAATTCTTCATAGGTTGGAGGCATCTAGCTCACTAAATAGGTAGGATATTCTGGTGGCCAATTCCTCTCTCAGATACCAGTTGGCCAGTAGTAGAGTCATTGAAGGGAAGAGGCAGCCTTCCAAGAATCCCAGAATCAAGCGACAGACACACAATCCTGGAAAGTTTTTGACGAATCCATTACACATGCAGACAAGACCCCATGCAAATGCTATCGTCGGAATCACGCGATTGAACTGGAGGCGCTTCACCAAGAGCGATGTCGGAAACTCTGCGAGGACATAGAAGATGTAGAAAATCGAAATTGCGGTCTAGTTTTCTGTTAGACCTAACTAAATTTTTGTTTGACAGGCCATACTCACATTCAGTTGCGTTCCAGTCAGTCCAATATCATCCGTCATACCTTGGGTTGCAGCGAAGCCGATGTTGCCGCGATCCAAATAGCTAATCAGCATGAGGAGCATCATGACTGGTGCAATGTAAAGATCTAGCTTTCGAACGAGGCGTGAATTGCGCTTTTGAAATTCCCCATCTTGGGCTTGTGCATGTTCTGCAAGCTCTACCATGGCAAAATCTGCCTTGGATTGCTCAGTGGCATCTTTTTCCGACATGCTGGCTGTGTGTCAATGAAGATCGGATCTTTTGACAGCCTTCTTTTGAATTATAAAAGACCTTAAGAACTTGAAAACCCGAGGGTCAATAAAACTTTGGTAAGTATTGAACAGGGGTCTAAGTTTTTGTAAGGGGGCATCTTTGACTTCAATATGAATTCCACCAGTCTAAGGCCAAGCCATTCATTCCCGGTACTCAGATACAAGACTATACATGGATAGGATTTGGGGAAGGGAATACGCCATTTCCCCAGGATAAGTGTCCCGCGTCTATGGGCTCGGCCAAGACCGAGAGGGGTGGCTACCTGGATTGGGGTAACAATGGAATCCTTCCCACTCCGACGGGTCACCAATCATCATTCTTAATTCCCGGACAACCTTCCAATTCCCCGCGTTTCCCTACGGAAGTTAGGATATTATTCTTAGTGCGAAAATATGTTTTTGAGTGACATACGTTAAGAATCCTTTCATAGTTAAGTTGGTGATAATAAGGAGGACCAGGGAGAGACTTGAGCCTAGGAGCCATCTCAAAGCTAAGCCACCATGACGAACGAAGACGTCCTTGAAGCAAAATTCACTTCTGAAGTTGGTCGAGATGCATGGGATTCCAACTGGAAATCCGTCCTTAACTTGAGTCCGGAATTATTTGATGCGAGCATCAATCTTCTGGCTGTTCCTCGACGCAAAAAGCATCTTTCTCCCAAAGTGCAACAGCTAGTCTCCATCGCTGTCGATAGTGCGGCAACGCATCTTTACTTGCCTGGAGTGAAGCAACATATCACCCAGGCTCTAAAGGAAGGCGCGACCATATCGGAAATCATGGAGGTAATTGAGCTCACCAGTACATTGGGTATTCATGCTTGTAACATCGGCGTTCCCTTGCTTGTGGATGTGATGAAAGAAGCGGGAATTTATGACAGCCACCCTGTTGCAGGGAAACCATTAGATGCGCATCGTGAGCAGTTGAAGGTCGATTTTACCAACAATCGTGGCTACTGGCATCAATTTTGGGAGGACTTCCTTGCTATGGATCCCGAATTCTTCGAGGCCTACCTCGGCTTCTCTTCCGTGCCTTGGTCAAGAGGGAATGACAAGAACAAGGTTGGAGGTTTAGAGCCCAAGGTATGTTTACATGAAGGTTCAGTCTTCATCAACATTGACAAGAACCTCTAGGTGAAAGAGTTGATATATTGTGCTTTCGATGTGGCTGCAACTCATTTGTATGTGCCCGGACTTCGATTACATATGAAAAATGTACTTGGGTATGGTGGAACACCGGAAGAAATCCTTGAGGTTTTCGAGATTGCCTCGCAATTGAGTCTTCATACTGCGCATGCAGCCGCCCCAATCCTGGAGCAGCTGGCTGGTGCGAAATGATACATAACTGAAAGTCAGACTGAGCAATCTATACGCGCATTTACACTTTAGTGAGAACAATTTATCATAAAAGTCCTGACTGAAATTTTATATAAGAGAGAGAAGGTTTCCAATAATAGCTCTATCAATTATTGTACTTCAAATACTATTCTCACTCTCAAAGCTTCTCTGAACATGCACTAAAAAATCGCTTCTGGTTCTCCGGGTTTTGCTCCCACTCAACATCGTGGGCAAAAATAATCTCGACGCCTTCCAACTCCAGTTGCTTAATACGCCCAATCGTTCTTTCAGCCTCTTGTCTATTGGCGTGAATACAGCATATATGGCCATGCTCATCATGCCATTCCCCAATCTCTCTTTCTCGGGTCATGATGCGTCGGTCATGACAAGCATCCCCGGCTAGATAAACGTACTTGTCTTGACCTGTCCGTGCAAAGATGTTCATATGCCCTGGCAAATGACCAGGTGCGTCGACAAGTAAGACACTTCCATCTTGGAAAATGTCCATTGTTCGTGGAAGAGAGCCTCGGGGCTCCCAGGATTGATTAAAATTGGGAATATCACCATCAAACGAAATGCCTTTCTTCATAGTGTTCATACTTTTGAATTTTCCATCTGGTAAAATCTCAATTGCTTGTGATTCACTCAGCAGGTCAACCTCGAAGAATGAGTGGCCTCCACGTAAGGCGAGATTACTTCCATCCAACAGTGTCGACGTGCCGGGACCAGTAACAAACGTGCTTTTGCCGAACATCTTCGGATCGCCGATGTGGTCCCAGTGGATCTTTCGGCCAGAATTCAATCATGAGCAAATTCCATGCAATGTGCGTTGCTTAGAGGGTACGTACATGCGAATATATCACGAAGTCAATGTTATCTGGGGATAAACCCCCAGCTGCCAGGCTCTTAACAACATCCGGCTCTGCGCTCAACGGTTGACGAGTCTTAATATGATTTTGAACTGGGATAGGGTAATTCGATGGGTGTCGCAAGCCAAGATCGAATATGATCCGAGTAACCTTCCCAGAACGAGGTTCAACATGTTCAATTAGAAATGAGAGAGAGGGTACTGTCTTTCTTGCCACATCGGAGGCGGGATGGACGAAAAACCGCTCTGGCAATGTAAGATGTCCAGCTTGGAGAGCGCTCACTTGTACTAAACCCTCCGGCTCGGCTAATGAGTGCATGATAATTCAATCGCCAATGGAAGAAAGGTGAAGAATTATTTGTTTGGTAGCTTCTAACTTTTCATATGTTTTTAATACAAATTCACGATTACCATAGCTTATTTGAAGCGTTCGGGGAAGAAACCTCCGGAATTCAGGCGAACAATGACTAACCGTTACCCCAAAATTGGGGAAGCTGAGCACATACTTATTTTGCACTAGTTACCTCGGGACTCTTTAAGCTTCCCCACTTGGAAGATCATTGGGATTTCAAATAAATTTGGAACTGCGTAGACAAAATTCAGCTACAATTCTTTTGGCTCTATTCATTGAATGCACGCGATCTTTGCATAATGACCGTCCCTCAAGCAAACTCGATTGGATTCGTCGGCCTTGGGGCCATGGGCATGTGGATGGCAACGCACTTGGCAGTAAAACTTCCGGCAAGCACTAAGGTGCATGTTTTCGATATTGTACCAGCTCTAGTGGAGGAATTCTGTACGAAATATCCTCTTAAGGCGGTGCGATCCTCCAGTCCGAAAGATGTTGCCGATAAATCTGTATATCCTTCCAGCCTCCTATATTTCGCATTTTCGCAAAGTCTAACTGCCATGGCCAGGATATAATTATCACTATGCTTCCAGAAGGGAAACACGTGAAAATGGTTTATCTGGGACCCGATGGAATATGTTCTGGAGAGATCGGAGCAAAGCTACTCATCGATTGCTCGACTATCGATACGGCTAGTTTTCTAGAGGTCAAGGAGCACATCGAGAAAGTATCTCCATCTACTTCGCTCTACGATGCGCCTGTTAGTGGTGGGGTTATTGGGGCAATGAAGGGAACCATTGCTTTTTTCCTAGGCTGCGCGGAAGATGACGCGCGCGAAATCCAGAGACTATGCGAGCTATTGTCCCTGATGGGAAGCAAGGTCATTCCGTGTGGTGGGCCATCTTTTGGTCTTGCGGCAAAGCTGTCCAACAACTATTTATCCGGTATCATCGCCATTGCATGCTCGGAGGCTATGGACATGGGGATGAGGTCCGGACTAGATCCTCGCGTCCTTGCCAAAGTCTATGCTGCTGGGACAGCACAAAACACGATTTGCGATAGATTCTGTCCTGTTCCTGGCGTTGCTCCGGAAGCTCCATCTTCGAATGGATATAAGAATGGGTTCAAAGTGCAGTTGATGCGAAAAGATATCTCACTGGCACTGGAAATGGCTCACGGGGTTGAATCAAATAATGTCCTTGGAAGTGCAGCATTGAAAACCTACGAAGGTGCCAGCGCGGATGCACGATGCAAAGACCTGGATTCTAGAGTCGTTTTCCGTTATCTGGGTGGCAATGAAGATTGGAAAACTGATCACCCAAAGACGAGCTAGACCTGACAATTCTGCTTTTCATAGTTATGTATAGATTGAATTAGATATAACCTATTTCTATGCTTCGCTTTGCCTATTCTTAATGAGGGGTTGACTTGGAATGTACGATCTAAATCACTGGGTTGAATTTATTGATCTCGGTTGATAAACGAGTCAGGTTAGGTATTAGTGTGCCTTGACTTTAGGGTCTAGGTAGAAAATAAGACAGAATTCGCCTTTGGAGGACATTGAATACGTGTAACGTTTCCTGCCGGTATCAACCTGTACAGTGGGGTTAGGCATGAAATGACAGTGAAAATGCGTCTCCACTATTCCCCAAATTCGGAGAAAGGAAGGTGTGTGCGGGGTTGCGGGCATCCGTTTACCCCGAGGGCATCCGATGCAATATGAACCAGCTATTACTTGACAGATCTCTAGCTCTTAAACATACCCAACTCACTGCAACTTCAAAAATCTGTCTAACTCTTTCAATCCATCCAAAACAACCGTTAAATTTCAACCCAATCTCAACTACATATATCCTCCAATATGTCAACGGACCCTAAGTTCGACGATCTCCACAACCAACTCTTTGAGGAGGGCCTCAAAGTTCGCCGCGCTGTTGTCGGGGACACATACGTCAACAGAGCTCTCGAAAACGGGTCAACTGAATTTTCGCGACCCGGCCAGGAGCTCGTAACCGAATGGTGCTGGGGATATGCATGGACCAGGCCAGGCCTTCCCCGGAGGGATCGCAGTCTGCTCAATATTGGCATGTTGATGGCTCTCAATCGCGCCCCCGAGCTTGCGATTCACATTCGCGGTGCTCGAAACAATGGTCTGAGTGAACTTGAGATTAGGGAGGCCATCCTACACGCAACAACTTATTGCGGCGTTCCGGCTGGGGTTGATGCTATGAAGATTGCTGAGAAGACACTCAACGAGATGGCTGAAAACGGGGAGAAGCCGCGTGAATTAGGGGCAAAGTCCAACAAGGCATGAAAGAGATAGCTGTGTGGCTCAGACAATGGTATAGGGTAATAGATTCCAGACTTCGCATACATACAAAATAGTATGCGTACCAAGTGGGCCCATTTCTTTGTTTTCAAGTATCTCCCAAACTGGCATCTATTTTGACCCACCAGAAAACATGCTGTTATGTATTTTGGGAAAGAGATAATGTTCACCAAGTATTTCTCATTATCTGTTTTTACTGGCATCTCGGTATCTTGGCAGTAACATCAATGGGTAGACATATGCCGCTAACTCTAATTGTAAAAAGACTCTTATTAAGTATAGACGCTTTGAAAGCTCACAGAGACCCAGGAAAGAATCTTGATCTGTTCTTTTCACGCCACTCGCCATCATGCGCGATGACTACTTCCACCATCTGATTGCTTCCTGACTCTGTTGCAGATTGGTTGATGCCATCCACCAATTTCTGGACCCTTCTCAACGTTTCTCTTGCCTCTGCAGTGTGAACATGTACACTCCTCTTCCCGCCATGCCCATCATCGTACAAGGCGATATCCTTTACTCTACTTAGGATACGGGAATCATGACAACAGTCGCCGCCCAGGTAAACCCAGTTGGTCGGAGACACTCGCGCCAAAAGGTTGACATGTCCAATCATATGACCTGGGCTGTCGAGAATATATACGCTTCCGTCAGAGAAGAGGTCGATGGCAGCTGCAAAGGGACCGAGTGGCTGCCATGTATGTGAAGACTGCTGGGCGGCAGGAACACATTCAGGAATTACCTCTCCCAACTCGGGGTCAGCGGATGGCGTATTTGCTGGGGGGAACTCTTGAGTCCGTTTCTCAGGCAAGAGATCAGGAATAAAAATCTCAGCAGGATAATGGGGCCCTGCACCATGGCGGAGGAGGTGCAATGTTCCAGCACCGACCAGGAAGTGGGCTTTACTGAAGTCTGCCGGTGTACCGACATGATCCCAATGCACCTAATGGAAGATAGCAAACTGATAAGTTATTTTTCTAAAATGATAGCCACAAGGAGGTCTTACATGGCTGAGAGCTACCATATCAATCTCGGCCGGATCCAAGCCTCCAGCGCGCAGCGAATCGCCCACATCTGGATGTAGTATGGTCGGCTGTCGATTGCGAATATGGGCTTGCATGGGTGGCGGGAATTCTTGTGGGTTTCTCTTCATCCCAAGGTCAAATAGCAGTCTTGTCGGAGATCCAGCACCTCCTGATGGATGTTGGATAAGAAATGACAGAGATGGCACAGTGACTCTTTTGTTTGGGTCGGCATCTGTGACAAACAGAGACTCTGGGAGGGTCAAGTGTCCTCCGTCCAATGCTGAGACTGTGACATAAACTTGATCGGCCCTAGGTGGAGGAAGGCTCGTATCCTGATTAATCGTGTTGGTTGAAAGCATGTTGATGTGGACTATATCTAGTGGTATTCAGTAGCAATGAAGAGGTTTCTGCTCACTACGTGAAAGGTGAAAGGTGCGGTAGGAAAAGTAAGTGTTCAGATCAACTCAATTTTATCTGTTTCTAGACTTTGCTGCGACTGCTGAAACTAGTGCCCGTACATACTGGATCCTGGGAGGGAACTTGGGGAATCCGGGACGTTCAACATCGGGGAAATTGGGGAAGCTCTCCGAGTCTGGCTTTCCCCACCTAGTGCACCCGAACGGCCTTTGCTCATTCAATATCATATATACCTTTGATATTCTCTATGCATTAGCGCTTGGAGACCTGGAATTGTATTCTAAGGTGTCGCTCTACATTATCTCGTTCTTGCCAAACTATATTCACATTCTTATCACACAGCTGCTCCAATATGTCTTCGGATCAGCGCATAATAGCATTTATAGGCATGTCAAATCTTTCTACTGGTGGCAAGAACGTGAGGTTAATTTATCAGCAGGCCTGGGTGTAATGGGCTTTCCAATGGCTATCAACCTTCGCGAGAAGATCGGACCCAATGCGACTATTTTGATATGTGATGTGTCAGCCGAAGCCATTGAGAAGTTCCAAAGCCAATCAAAAGAACAGGGACCTGTACAAGTGGTTAAGAATGGATTCGAGGCAGTTCAGAAAGCGGTAAGTCCTGGAAAGCACGAATTGCGGAAAGAGACGTGGTGACAATTTTTGCGCAGGACATCGTTGTCACGATGCTACCCAATGGGTCGGCTGTAGAGAGTGTCTATCTGGACGAAGAGACTGGAATCCTGTCGGGTATTCGGCACCGCAATCCAAAGGCAACAAAGGAACTGATTATCATGGAATGCGGCACGATCGAGTCGGCTACCATCCAGAAAGTGGCACAGGCAACGGAAAGTCTCAATAAAGACTTTCCGGCTGTCAAGTTCGTTGATGCCCCGGTGTCAGGAGGTCCGATGGGGGCCCAGGCAGGGACTCTTACCTTCATGGTAGGTGGGGAGGCGACCTCATTCAAGACGGCCGGGGAAATCCTCCAGCATATGGGTAACCCAGACGGAATCTTCCACTGCGGGGACGTCGGTGCCGGAACGGCATTCAAGGTCATCAACAATTATCTGTCGGCCATCACTAGCCTCGCGGCCAGCGAGGCGCTGAATATCGGTGCCAAGATGAACCTAGATCTAAAGACATTGACGGATGTCATCAATGTCAGCGGTGGTCAGTGCTGGGTCACATCCAAAAGTAATCCGGTGCCTGGTATCCATGCAAATGCGCCCGCGAGCCGAGGATATGAAGGTGGGTTCCGGATCGAACTGTGTTCCAAGGTATTGCAGATGGGCAGTGATTTGGCGAAGATGGTGGGTGCAAGGACTATTCTGGATAAACCGACTTTGGATGCGTTTCACGAGGCTAGTGAAGATCCTCGCTATAAGGGAAAAGATGCACGCGTAGTGTACAAGTGGTTGAATGAGCAATCCTAACGGTAATGGGAATTGGGAACTGGGAACTGTCTCTTTCCCTACTTTATATTTACTGAATGATATCAAATGAAACGAACCTGGATTATGTTACATTGTTTTCCACTAGATCCGCGCAGAGCTCCAAAGAGGCTCGAACAACATCAACAATGGCCCAAACCTGTGCAGGCCCGTAGAATGCTTTGGCCCATACTCGAAGAACATTTGCAGCTAGTAACTTCATACTAGATGGAGACCCGACGTTGAAATGTGAAGGAACAGCGAAATCTGTCTCATCCAGCATTGTTTTAACCAGCATCACCATTTTGTATTCTCCAGGAGTGATAGTCTCAATTGCTGCCGGTGAGGACAAAGCTTCAAGCCATTTGCTAAGGAGGAAGGCACACTCGAGGGTTGCTAAAGAATGCTGTATTGACCAGCGGAAGGTTTGTGTTTGAGCCACGAGATGGACACCAATTCGTATTGGTATACTCAGAGCATGTGCAGCATGCAACACTGGACGTAGTAACCTTGGTGTTCTGGATATAAGCTGGGATTTAAGGAATGCATTGGCAATTTGTGTTGGGTCGCGTGTGTGGAGAGCTCGTCCGGGCCCAATATCCGCGTTGAGCCGAATGTATGCCAGCCGGAGCAAAGCTGTGGAGTTGAATGATACTGGTCCCATAGGGTTCGAAGGATCAATGCTGGAATCTGGAGTGTGCTTCCACATTGCCTTCCAGTTACGTAATGCAATCTCAGTAGACGCGATATCATCTTCTGGGATGTCCTTCCGGCGATGGCGGAAGACTTCACGGACAAGATAGATATGCTGGATCAGCGCATGCACAAGGATGTAGTTGCCAAGGGTCGAGTTCGGTGCAGTTCCCACCGTGCTAAAGTCCTCTTGGAATAGGTTGGAAAATGCATCTTTGAAGGTTATGTTTGTTTCGTTTTCTCTTGCTTTCAGCCATTTGGCGTGGGATGTTGCGCGAAAAGTGGCAGTTTGACACGGTAGGAGCATCCCATCTACATCAGAGCTCAAAATTGGAGATGGGATGTTGTAAACTATCGTATGCAGGTCGAAGAAGCAGAATACAATCCACTTGGTTCTCTTGGTGCTTTCATATATTGCCCATCCCTCCCAGGGAACGTCTTCCGGCAAGGGTGGCGTCTTCAGACCATGGTCCCGAACCAAAGTTGCTAAAATACTCTGGATAGCAAGAGCCTCACGTAGAATCGTTCGATGGTTAGACCACGTTGCCTCTGCCATGAGTAAAAGGAGAGCCTGCGCTGTTTGGATTGTCTCTTCACACTGTGGTAAGTTGCCACGACTCGAATAGCTGTGCATCATCGGTGTATGTTCACGGTCACTTCTTGCCTGCGATACGGATGAGGCATCTCGCCTCCGAACGCGCTCTCTTGCAATAGCGTGGCTCGTTTGGAATAATTGTACTGTTTTATCTGGCTCGAAACAGTACTGGGCGCCAATCGATGCAATGGCTAGCACAAGCTCAATGGAACACCCTTCCGCCGACAGGGTAGGAATGTGAAGAAAAGGCATATGTTCATGGAATCCTTTGACATATGCAGTCATATACCGATATAACGCCAGTCGAGTCGGCATTTGGAATTCCTCAGGAACTACAGTAGCAAACTCGTGGACCTTGCTGAGAAGCACATCGCGCATATGTGAACTGATGTTTTCGAACAAATTGCTTGGCCTGGCAACTTGAGGAGGAGCTCCGGAGATAGGAGCGCGCTCCTCTGGCTGGAGAGAAGGCAATCTCGATCCAAGTTGCGAAAAAGACTCGACCTCATCGGCTTGCTGGGCAGGGTCTGTTGTCGCCAACTCCGCGCCCAGATGTAGAGGAAAACCGCCAGAATTAGGGTAGCGATCTGGCGAAGTAAATGTTATGCCGTTTGCTGATGAAACAAAAGAGGCAAAATCATCTGTAAAGGGAGTGTGGTTGTCCATAAACGCAGCCAAATCCTGAAACGAATCACTCAAGAAGCCAGGATGGGGAAACATCGGAATTTGCGCTGGTAGATATGGTGAGAAGCCGTTTAGTGTCTGAATTTGTTGTTCTCTGTTGTTTTCGGTACTCGGCGGTCGAGGCAATCCGCTCATATGATCCAAGTTAATGGTGTTGGCTTCTAGCGGTGCCTCATAAGCTTGTACGGGGTATTGGTGTGCAAGGTCCTCCATAGGAATCATCGGAGGCTCATGAATACTCTTGTCCACAGCTGTCTCTTCCTCTTCTTGCACTGGAGGGTTTGAAACGCTCCCCTGGATAGAGGGCTGTTGCCAGAATTCATTCGCCTGGTCCTGCTGACCCGTGGATTCTGCATGGTTCAGTCGCTCGTGGCGTACCAGCAAATCACTGAATAGGGTTAGAAAGAATCACCCAAGCCCACGCGGTAAAATACCTTCTTGAAAAGTGTCGCTTGCACTGAGCGCAGCTAAATGGCTTCTCATTGGTATCTATGTCCCTTTTAGTGGTCAAGTCAAAAAGAAAGAGTGGATTGAAGGACCCACGGATTCTCTCATGTCGTTGTAGATGTTCTAATCGAGCAAATCGACGATCACAGTGCTCACATGTGAATCTCTTGGACTTTTTGACAGCACTACTAGATTTCCCTCTGGCTGGCGAGGCTACCGACCCGGTCGGCATGGCGATGATTGAAGGACGTCTCCAATGCCAAGGGACCGGGGCAGTTGGCCGGAGATCAGCACAGCAAAATCGGAATAGAAAAATGAAACAGCCGGTGCTCGCATTAGGGATTCAGAACAAGCCCAGCAGCCAGGAAGGAGATGGGGAATATCCCGGCTCCGAACTCTCCGGATTTGCGGGGGATTTACGGAGTTCCTCGTCCAATCAGCCACAATCCGCCACGGGTCTGACATCAACCCAAGAGTCTTTTTTGCCTCTTCCGCTCTTCACCATCGGCCGTGACGGTGTTTGATGGATGTGAATGTAGTCGTCCAGCCCTTCTTAGGTATTACCTCCATCGTCGTATACTCGTGCCTACTGCATAGCAACGTACAGGTCACAGATGCCATAAGTTCAGACGAGTGATATTTTGGATAAACGATCATGAATGATTCTGTATGTATTAATTAATACTCATTATGGACATAAAATTCTCCCATCTCTCTAGCATTTACTTTCCTCCTTAGGCTTTTTCGCCTTTTTGACACTCTTCCATTCCATCGCCAGAGCAGCAAAGATTGACAGAGACGCCATGGCAACCCCCAGATAGAAAGTATTCGAGATAGCATCGCTGTAGGCCTTCAGAACGGCCGGCAGCGAAGAAGCAGACACACTCTCGCGCAAATTAGTAGCCCCGACATCCGCGACGTGAGTGGAATCCACGCCTTTGATGCTGGACAGGTTCGAGGACAGCATGTTCGAGAAGAGCGTCTCTGCAACGGCGAGCCAGATTGCACCGTTCAGCTGCTGCGAGAACATCAGCAGCGATGCGCCGATCGGTACGTCTGCGCGCGTGAGACATGTCTGCACGGCTACGTTGGCCTGCTGCGCGCCGAGTCCGAGGCCGAAGCCGAAGATGACCTGATAGCCTATCCATTTTGGATGGGCAGTGTCAGGCTCGAATGTGCTGAGTAGCCCGGCGCCGATGGACATGAGGATAGCGGAGGCGATCATGAAGGGGTTGTAGTACCCCAGAATTGTGATTAGAATTCCAGATCCAATGGACCCTACCACCATGGATAGCACGAGAGGCAGGTTCATGATACCGGATTGCTCGGCGTCCACGTTCTTGATGGCCTGGAACCACACCGGCAGATAGTAAAGCATTACCATCATGCCGCCGCTGGTACACATGGTCCACATCACGCCCGCGAGCACGGATCGCTGCTTGAAGATCCGAGGCGGCACCAGCGCTTTCTCCTGGCCCCGTATCTGCGTGCCTACAAAGATAATGGACAGCACACCGAACAGCACGAACAAGAGAATGATGCGCCAACTACTCCAAGGATACGTTGACCCGCCCCATTCCAATGCCAGCAAGAGACAGACCACACTGGGAACCAAGAACAGATTGCCCAGCGGATCCAGCTGCTTCATCTGCTCTTTAAATGGCATGCTTACGTTTTTCGGCGGCGGGATATCGAGTAGAAAGAAGATGGCCACTATCGCTGCGCCACCAATTGGAAGGTTGATATAGAAACACCATCTCCAGGTGAGTTCGGTGGTAAAGACTCCGCCCAGGACGGGGCCCAGGACGGAGGAAATACCAAAGACGGCGCCCGCGAAGCCCTGGAATAGAGGCCGCTGCTGGAGAGGCACCGTGAGCACGATGATGACGATCATGCCGGACGAGATGCCTCCCGTGCCTAGGCCGGCCACAGCACGGCCGATGATGAGGGCTGTCGACGAGGGAGCGGAACCGCACACGGCAGATCCGATTTCAAAGATGGCGATGGAAATGAGAAACACCCATTTGGCTTGGTAGAAGGTGTACAGACGGCCGTACACGAGTTGCGAGGCGGATGCCGTTAGCATGTACGCACTGCCGTACCAGCCGATATCGCCTAGACTGTGGAAGTGGTCGGTGATTTGGGGAGTGGCTGTTGCGACGATCAATCGGTCCTGGACGGTATGAATACATGTAGACCAGAGGGAAGTTAAGGCTGTACTCACCAGAGAGACCAGGAACATGGCCACATAGAGCGACAGCATGATGGTCAGTCGTTTGGTCATGGAGGGATACCGCATAGAGTCCGTGGTGGTCGTGGGCTGCAGTTGAAGCCCATCACCGGACATCTGCGTGTACTCCACGTCCTTCTCGGGCGGGATCTCTTCTTTTTCGTTGGTCATGGTGAAGGTGATCAGTATAGACCGAAAGGGGAAGGGGGAAAAAAAAGGGCAAGAGTGGATGGTGTATTATTATATAGTCGCCCGCGCAGGGACGGAGGAACGGACCTCCTGGTCCTTCTGGTGCAAATTTCGTCCGCTGTACATCTAGGGCTTCTGCGCGCAGGAATAGTTCCCGGGACAGGGACCCTCCGAGTGCAGAGCGCCCATTGTTAATGCGCGCTTCACAGTTACTCGTGTGGGTCCGGCAAAGGTGGGTTCCGTCTTTCATAATAATTAATCCCGGTTTAGGGATCGGTCGGTCGGCGCGGGAATCTCCGTTTAGCTCCGTTTGCGCTGAGCACAGCCACTACGACAGTGACTCCGATATGTTTTCTTTGGCTTTCCTTGTTTTTTTTTTTTTTTTTTTTCTACACATGACTGCAGTATACAATGACTTAATCGGATTTATCATTTGCCTCGATCAATCATCTCTATGGTATCTCCAAGATCATGCCCATCCCAAACACCAGAAACAGGCCAACACCGTAATACCCCAAGCATATCCACGAAGAAGAAAAAAAGAAATATAGTACACACTCCATCAGACCACAGATTCCCGCATCGCAGCAGCCACCTGGGCGCGCTCCATAGCCTCCTCGTGGGCATTTATAAAATCATCCTCGTTGATATCGCTCGTCTCCTCCCACAACTTATCATACTCGTCCATATCATCCCCATTGACCGCCCACATGCTCTCGCGCAGCCGTTTATTCCGCTCGCGATCCTCTTCGATCCGCTGCTCGATCTGTCTCTTGTCCACGCGCTGGGGTGGCTTGGAGCTGCGCGGCGTCCCCGTCTTCGATCGCGCACTGTTGCCTTCTGGGATCTCCTCGGGTTCCAGGTCTAGGTGAGAGGGGTGCGACTCGCGGTCTTTGAGCGCGGCATCGATCTCCGCTACTGTCTCCTTAGAGAGCATTTCTTTCGTCTGTAGGCTCTGTAGCACTCGTCGGACGTGCTTCACGTTCGCAGCGCCCGTCCCGTCGGGTGGCACGACGGCGTCCACGACGCGGAGGATGTCGCGCTGTATCATCCGTACGTAGGGCAGATGGTCTTCCTTGGTGGCCATTTCGCAAAAGTGCTCGATGAAGGACATGATGTTTGCGCGGTTGTTCATATTATTCTAGAGATGTAAAAATTAGAAACCAACTGACATTATGAGGACAGGAAGAGGCACTTACACGTTCGAGCTGCTCCAAAATGCACGAATGGAGGTCCTCGTCCAGGTCGCGGTATTTGAGGGCATAGTGGGCGGCTTTCTGTGAAGACGTGACCGTGGCACTCAGGTGCTGCAGCTGCGTGGTAAATCGCATGCGCACCTCGAATGGATCGACCATCATCTTGTCCGGCGGCGACTCGGAGAAAGAGCGAGGAGTGAAAGAGGCGTCCATAGTGGGTTCGGTCGATCACGAGGAAGAGAAGGCGGTGAGCACGCCCGAATGTAGTATTGGAAGGTCAACAGGGCAGTGGACACGGAAATGGCAAATTTAACAGGAGATAAAACCAAGTGAGTAAAAGAAAGAGAATGCTGGTTAGTTGACTAGTCAAGTGAAGCTGAAAGGTGGAACGAGGTGGAACGAGGTGGTTGAGTATGGGTGATCAAAAACGGCCGTTGATATATATTCTGTGACTCCCAAGACCAAGCATCAGATTTGCAAAATTGGTTCCATTCCTGAGCAAAACGCCGGAGCTATATCCAAAGCTACTTTGAGTGTATATCCATGCCAAAAATTCAACAATGGACCAGTGCCCCCGAGGACATAATCAAAGCCAGTGTATAATAAAAAATTCCCCCGCTTAAATATCATCACAATGAATCTCGCCTCAACGAACTGCTAAGGCTGCTTCGGTCTTCCCCATGAAGCAAGCCGACCTCCTCGGCCGCACCGCTCTCCACAAACTCGTCTCCTCGCATGGCTTCTTGTCGACGGAACTCGACTCCATTCAGCACAGACCACACATCTTTCTTCGTCATCAACCCTTGGAGAATGCCTTCGTTGGCGAAGATGACATACCGCAGACCCAAGCGTTGGAACATCCGCAGTACAATGAGGAAGCTGACGTTGCTGTTTAGAGTGATCGGGGTCTGATCCATCCAGGGCCGCAGATCCAGGGTCTCGACGGGGTCGGCGAACGGCTGATGAACGAAGAAGACCTGCGTTTCGCCGGATAGATTGCGATTGGTGGGAGAGGAAGAGTATTTCAGGGCATACGAAAGCTCATTGCGGGTGATATAGCCGAGAAGGACGGGCTTCGAGGATTCAGACACCACAGGGAATCCCCGATATGAAGTGTTGGTAAGCAGATTGCGAAGAGAGCCAATGGTGTGACCCGTAGCAGTGATGCAGGTGATATCGTCGACGACGGTCATGACTCGGTGACCGCAGACGTCTGGTGGTGCGGTATCGTCGCGGTGATCAAGGAAGGGGTATTCGTTGAGTTGAATCCACGACTCGTAGATCCCGCGCTTGCCAAAAATGTCACCACACCATTTGGATAGCATCACTGCAATCATGATCGGAATCACGTACGTCAATGCGCCGGTCAACTCAAACATGATAACAACAATTGACAGTGTCATTCGAGTTGCACCGCCCAGAGCGGAAGCTGCCCCAATGATGGCATATAAGCCGGGTGTCACGCACGGAACGTCCGGCTCGCAATTGCTAAACAGGAAGGTGTTCGGATAGGCTTCCTGCCACATTCTCATACCAATTCCGAATGCACGTCCATAGAGAGCACCAATGGCAACAGAGGGGAGTATAATGCCAGCAGGGATTTCCAGGCCAAATGTCAACGTAGCAAGGAGGAAGCCTAGTGCTGCCGCCCACAGCAACAACGCAATAACCCCGACAGAATCTGACCCAGACTGGCATAGCCCAAACAGATCGTAGTTATCGCTGCTGCACTCGGAGAAGAGCGCTTGAACCAGTTCGGAATTCTGGGCTCTCATGAAAACGTTCGGGAAGTTATTCAAGGCTGTCAACAAGGCCACCACGGCGACTTCGACAATGGGTTTAGCAGGAGAAGAAACAGGTCGGGATCGGCGCCATCTGGCAACTTTGAGATTCACACGGATCAGGAACGCTCCGTAAAGACCGCCCACGATACCAAGTATGATGAACGGGATGATTTCAAAGCGGTGCCATCCCCGTGAGTACGAGACTTGATAGAGCACGATCTTGCCTGTGCGGAAAGGGTTGACTGCCTGCAGAGTGACTGCTGCGATCATAGCACAGACAAAGCTTTGCCACATAGTTTTGTCGGGGAAATAGTATGACAGTTGTTCCAGGCTGAAAAGGACTCCTCCGATGGGAGCGCCAAAGGCGACAGAGATGCCAGCAGCAGCGGCCGCAGAAAGGACCTCGCGCTTTCGTGCTGAAGAACCATTAGCAACGAACCAAACAATGAGACATAGGCTGATCTAACCTTCATTATTGTTGAGACCGTCGAAAGGCTTCATCATGATGTTGGCACAGCAGCACGCAACATGCACCAAGGGGCCTTCTTTCCCCAGCCACAAGCCAGATGCGACAGCAAGACACTGGTATAATCAGTAAAGATAATCCCCTCGAACATGACGTGCCACTTACCAATCCAAGGGACTTGATAGCTAGAGTCCATGGACCCATGAAATGCCGAATCACAAATCCACCAAGTACCGTCTTGATTTCGGGAATCCCACTGTGCCGGGCATAAATGGCATAGTTGCGGACGAGGATGCAGGCACAAACAGCGAATAACAACTAAAAGTTTTTATCAGCCAGATTTGACGCCTGGATGGGAGGGCAAATACCGAAAACACGATATAGACGAAGTATCCCAGAGCGAAGCCTCCCGCAGTGGATTTGTCGCCAAAAGCATTTCCCCAGGGTGTCCAGTCTATACAGTTGGACAGATCTGGGACGAGGATGAGTATACTATTTCCAGCATACTAGAATTGGACTCACCATCGTGACCCCAGCAGCAGAAACTCCGATTTAAATAGAACTTGCCTCCACCTCGACCACTTTTGCAGTACCCGGTCTTTAGATCTCCCAGCCAATCCGTCGCAATGTCGATCGCCGCAGCAATGATTCCGACCGAGAGCCCAGTTGCGACCAACACAAACCAGACATTACTGGCTTCCAGTAGTCGACGGGCATGGCCCATAATGCCTTGTCCACTGGCGTAGAGCAACCGTTTCCGTTGGCGCTCTTTTGTGTACTCGTAGATCCAATCGATGGCGGTGAAATCGTCGTAGCCTACACGCCGTCCCGGGCCCTCCACGTACCAGTCAAGACCGCTGCCATCCTTGGATGCGTTGGCATTGCCATTGGTTCCAAGCGGAATCTGCGATTCTGGTGGTGGTGGTGATGCATCTGCGTTGTGTCCACCTCGCGGCCCCGGGGAGCCAAAGCCCGCATGCGATTCACCCGCGTTATTCGAGAAGAGACTCGAGAGACTGAACCCCGATTGATGACGTTGCTTTCGCTTGAAGGAGATCCTGCTCATACACCATAATCAGTAAGGAAGTAACACAACAGTCGAGTTTCGTTGCCACTCACGGTTCATGTAGACCATCTGCCGGATGCGTGTCTGGAGGTTGTCGAGGTAGGGGGCTGTCCTCGGTGTGCTGCGCCGCCCAGGGCTGATTGTCGCTGCCGGAGCCCTGATCTTCTATTGACATCGTGAAACCATCAACCAAGGAGTCAGCTTCTCCCGAGCTCACTCTGGGCGATGTATGAATGAAACTCCGTCTCTCATTGAGTCGCAGCTCGAATGGATTATGTAAGACTTGTCACCGCTCAGATCGGCCCCACAAGTTCTGGCGGCAGAAAAAAAGTTGACTTTTGAAGCCGAAACAATTCAAGAGGAGAAACAATTGTTCCTCTTGCGGTCGGGCACGGTATGTATGGAAGGCCCGTCTACGAGAGGACTCTCTCAGAGTCCCAGCTGCTCGAGCAGCTCCCCTCCGATCTCACGACGCTTATTCGCACTGCGTCGGGGACTCAGTACCTCAACGCGATTGCACTCGCCGCATTGCACCCGGGATGCACAGAGAGCGTTTTCACCCTCTACGAACCAATCGTTGTTGATCTAGCCGCTCGGTGGCTTCGATCGGATCCTCGTATCGACTATATTCACGTCCTGTCGGCATTCGCCCGCATTCTACCGTTTGCGCCGCATCTACGCCCGCTTGCCAGCCAATTCGCCTCATCACGCGCTGGCCCTCTCTCGGCGCTGGCGGCGTCGAAGGAACTGACTTTGCTGCAGTTGGATGATCCCACGGTTCGAACTCTTCTCCTCGCCCTCTTCCGACTCCTCTCTTTCGATCTGGAAACATTCTCGACAGCCGTTTCGCCGCTTCAACTTCAATCTCTGTTCCAGCACCAAGATCCAGTCATTCGATACCTCGCAGTCCGATGTTTCGCTCTATACATGCACGCTGCCGACGCAGCCACCCAAAAGATGCTATATGTAAATACTGGAGCTGCGCCTATACAAGGAGATTGGGAAGACATAACAATCGACTACCGTCTTTTGGGCCTATGGGAAGAGCGGCGCTGGGAGACTCTTGAAGCTCATATTCGGGACCAAAGATCTTCTCGGTCATATACCGAGGCTTCCGCACATGTTGAGAGGCTTCGGGAGTTCTTCACCACCAAAACCGCGGAGGTATGCGGCGTCTTGATTCCCAGGCTGAAGGATACCCTCCCTTCATCATCTTCTCCCGTTATCAAGACACCCACGGCTATTGAAAATCTGCGCCGCATCGCAACGTCCTTGCTTGGATCCAAGCCTATTCTGCTAGTCGGCCTGCCTAACTCTGGGAAGACCTCCCTGATCAACGATATCGCTGCCACTATGGGCCAAGCCGAATCCATGGTCACCCTCCACCTGAACGAACAGACAGACGCCAAGAGTCTTCTTGGGATGTATGCTACCTCGTCCGCCAATGGGTCCTTTTCATGGCAGCCGGGTGTTTTGACGAAGGCTGCGAGGGAAGGTCGTTGGGTCCTCATTGAAGACCTAGATCGCGCTCCCTCTGAGGTCATCGGCCTCATCCTTCCGATCATTGAGCGAGGGGAGTTGACGATCGCCAGCCGAAGGGAGCGGATCAAGTGTGCAGAGGGCTTCAGGATTATTGCGACAATGAAGTCTTCATACAACATCGCGGGTGAAGAAGTCGCCCCGAATACGTCAATGCTTGGCAGCAGATTGTGGCAGAGAGTGCAAGTTGCCTCTCTTCCCTTGGAAGAAATGCGCAATGTGATCCTGCGAAAGTTCCCTCTGCTTGAGTCTCGTGTGCCAACCATCATGGATGTGTACCACAGAGTCTGCGCTGCTTTCCATGGAAGCCTTGCCATCAAGGGCTCGCAAGGCCGTACCCCCGGATTCCGCGACCTGATCAAACTGTGCAGCAGATTGCACCGACGACTCCAACGTATAGGTGCGAAGACTGGGTTTGAAGCTACGCCTGAGGGGATCGAAGACGAAATTTTTCTGGATGTGGTCGACGTCTTTCTCAAGTACCTTCCGGAAAGATCGATGCAGAGTTCTCTCGCTTTTGTGGTAGCCGAAGCGCTTCAGATCTCGCCCCAGCGAGCCCAATTCTGCCTTCAGGAGCGCACTCCCACCTATACGGATAAGAACAATTCTCTCGTCATCGGAAGAGAATCTTGTCAGAAGATCAAGGTTCCGAGCAGCTCGGCATTGAAGCTGGCAGCATCAGCATCTCGCTTTGCCTCTACGCGAGCTGCACTGTCAATCATGGAGCAGGTCGCCGCCTCCATCCAAATGGCGGAGCCAGTGCTACTCGTTGGAGAAACTGGTATCGGAAAGACGACAGTTATTCAACACCTTGCCACGCTGATGCGCCAAAAGCTCACAGTTGTCAATCTGTCCCAACAAAGTGAAAGTACCGACCTGCTGGGTGGGTTCAAGCCTGTTAATATTCGAACAATGGCAATCCCGATGCTCGATGAGTTCAACCAGCTATTTGAGCTCACATTCTCGGCAAAGAAGAACCAGAAGTTTTTGTCTTCGGTGTCCAAAAGTGTTTCTTTCTCGAACTGGCCGCGCTTGGTGAACTTGTGGCATGAAGCTGTTCGTCTTGCGGATGGCGCCTTCAAACCATCTCGCGATGTTTCAAAGGACACTGAGAATGGCGATGAGCAGCCCTCAAAGAAGAGGAAGTTGGAGTCACCGAAATACCAACACCTTCGACAGAGATGGGAGAGTTTTGCCGCTCAGCTTGGTGACTTCGAGGCTCAAGTTTCTCAGGGAGATGCCAAGTTTGCATTTGCCTTTGTGCAAGGAAAAATTGTGCGAGCTCTCAGAAATGGAGAATGGGTTCTTCTGGACGAAGTGAACCTTGCTTCACCAGATACACTCGAGAATATTGCCGGTCTCTTGCATCATGGTAGCGAGGGGTCGCCATCTGTCTTACTTTCCGAGGCTGGCGATGTCGAGCGAGTTTTTGGCCACCCAGACTTTCGTATATTTGGCGCTATGAACCCTGCTACGGATGCTGGAAAGAGAGATCTGCCCCCTGGCCTGCGTACACGATTTACCGAGTTTTACGTCCATTCCCCCGACACTGAATTGGACGATCTCCTGGCGTTGATACAGAAGTATCTCGGCGACTTGACTCTTAGCGACCATCGAGCTGTGTCAGATCTTGCGCAACTATACATGGAAACCAAGAAGCTCAGCAACGAGAACAAGCTGACCGATGGAGCCGGACAGCGCCCGCACTTCAGCATTCGAACTCTTGTTCGCGTTCTCATCTATGTCATTGACCACGCCCACATTTACGGTTTGCGACGAGCAATTTTCGAAGGATTCAGCATGAGCTTCTTGACCGTGTTGAGCTTGGCGTCAGAGCGGTCTCTCACACCTCTCCTGGAAGCTCACATCTTCGGCAACACCAAGAACGCAAAGTCTCTTCTTGGCCAAACCCCTCGGCCTCCGGCGGATGGCAATAACTATGTTCAGTTTAAGCATTACTGGATGCGATGCGGTCCTTTGACACCAGAGGAGCAACCCCACTACATCATTACCCCTTTCATCGAGAAGAACCTCAAGAACTTGGTCAGGGCCACTTCGACTCGTCGATTCCCCGTTCTGCTGCAGGGTCCGACTTCGGCTGGAAAGACGAGTATGATCGAGTATCTGGCAAAGGTTTCGGGAAATAAGTTCGTCCGCATCAACAATCACGAACATACAGATTTGCAGGAGTATCTGGGATCCTACATTTCTTCGGATGACGGTAGTCTGCGTTACCAGGAAGGTGTCCTGGTCGAGGCTCTGCGGAATGGGTATTGGATCGTTCTCGACGAGCTCAACCTTGCCCCTTCTGATGTACTGGAGGCACTTAATCGACTTCTGGACGACAACCGTGAGCTGTTCATTCCGGAGACCCAAGAGGTCGTTCATCCACACCCGAACTTCATGCTGTTTGCCACGCAGAATCCCGCAGGTCTTTATGGTGGCCGAAAGGTCCTCTCACGCGCTTTCCGCAACCGCTTTCTTGAACTGCACTTCGATGATATCCCCGAGAGCGAGCTGGAATTTATTCTGAAAGAACGGTCTCAAATCGCGCCGTCATTTTGCACTCGAATCGTCTCGGTTTATAGAAAACTCTCATTATTGCGCCAATCGAACCGGCTTTTTGAACAGAAGAACAGCTTTGCCACGCTCCGTGATCTTTTCCGCTGGGCTCTTCGGGATGCCGACGACAAGGAGCAACTGGCTATCAACGGTTACATGCTTTTGGGAGAACGCGTGCGCAATCCCCAGGAAAAGGCCGCTGTGAAAGCCGTAATTGAAGAAGTAATGAAAGTCAAACTGAACGAGGATGTCCTTTACAGCGATGCGCAACTGGAAAAGCATGCTCCTCAAATAGCCGAACTACCTGCCGGTATTGTTTGGACCAAGGCCATGCGGCGTCTCTTCATTCTGGTCTCGAAAGCACTGCAAAACAACGAACCGGTCCTTCTTGTTGGAGAGACTGGGTGCGGCAAAACCCAGCTTTGCCAGGCGGTTGCGGAGGCTTTCGCGAGGGAGCTGTTCATTGTCAATGCTCATGTCAATCTGGAGACTGGCGATTTGATTGGTGCCCAACGACCAATCCGCAACCGGGCCGCCATAGAAAAGCAATTGCTGGATGATCTTCGAACATTTATTTACGGAGAACAGGCTGGTTCAACTTCCCTCGAACAGCTGAAGCAAGAACTGGCCGCAATGGATGCAGAAGTGCGGCAAACAAGAGACCAAGAACTACTCAGGAAGATCGAAAAGAATATGATTCGGTGCAACGCTCTTTTCGAATGGTCTGATGGAAGCCTTATCACTGCCATGAAAACAGGCCAATTTTTCCTCCTTGATGAGATTTCCCTCGCCGACGATTCTGTCCTTGAGAGACTCAACAGTGTTTTGGAGCCTCATCGATCAATTCTCCTTGCTGAGAAAGGTCCTATTGACTCTATGGTCGTTGCAGATGGCGGGTTCCAGTTTTTATCGACCATGAATCCCGGCGGAGACTACGGAAAACGAGAGCTTTCAGCAGCACTCCGGAATCGTATGACTGAGATCTGGGCACCGCAACTGTCAGAAGATGAGGATATTCTGCCCATTCTTCATATGAAGCTGAGCTTGAAGGATGAAAGAGTCGCCAAAGCCATGTTGCAGTTTGCGAAATGGTTTAAAGCAACGTTCCAAAACACCTCAACCACATCTCTTTCCATTCGTGATCTTCTTGCTTGGGTAGATTTTGTCAATACGTGTCAGACATCTGATGCCGTATTCGCAATTGTTCAAGGTGCTGCCATGGTGTTCGTTGATACACTAGGCGCGAACCCGGCTGCGATGCTTGCTATCTCCTTGCACAATCTTGAGGGTAATCGACAATTGTGCCTTGACAAACTCGGCGAATTGTTCCAGGTCGATGCCTCGAAGATTTACTGGGAGTCGTCAACCGTCTCCGTGGAGCCAGGATTTCTACACGTTGGCCCGTTCAGCCTGCCGACGATTGGAGACACAGAGCCTGATCCACAATTCACTATGGATGCCCCAACAACAATAGCCAATTCCGTTCGAATTGCCCGTGGTCTGCAATCGTCGAAACCCATTCTCATGGAAGGAAGCCCTGGCGTCGGCAAAACCACGCTTGTGACAGCTCTTGCCAGAGCTCTCGGCAAACCTCTCACTCGAATCAATTTGTCAGAACAAACGGACTTGACAGATTTGTTTGGTTCTGATGTCCCCGTGGAAGGTGGAGATGTCGGACAATTTACATGGCGCGATGCACCCTTCCTCCGAGCCATGCAGCGTGGCGACTGGGTCCTTTTGGACGAAATGAACCTGGCTTCGCAATCTGTTCTTGAAGGTCTAAATTCTTGTCTGGACCACCGTCAGCAGGTATATATTGCCGAACTCGACCAGACTTTCAAAAGGCATCCAGACTTTGTACTATTCGCAGCCCAAAACCCACACCATCAGGGCGGTGGACGAAAGGGACTTCCTGCATCCTTTGTCAACCGGTTCACAGTGGTATACGCAGATAGCTTCACAGATGCCGATTTGAAGAGCATTTGCGCCAAGCTGTTTCCCGGCAGTCCTTCTCAGCAGACAGAAAGACTGGTTGACTTCATCTCCTTGCTGAACATTGCCATTGTGAACGAACGCAGGTTAGGTACTGTTGGCGGGCCATGGGAAGTCAACCTGCGAGATATTCAGCGATGGCTCCAACTGGCAGACCGAGGGAATTTGCAGATTCCGACAAAGCACTTCCTGGATATTGTCATCAGTCAACGGTTTAGGAGCGAAGAGGATCGAGTTTTGGTTTCCCAGCTTTATGACCGCATTTTCACAGACTCCAATGTTGGTCGAAAGAGCTACTATCACAACCTGACACCGGAGTATCTGCAAGTTGGCCTAGGAATCTTGTCCCGAGACTCCCTCTTGCAACGCACAGCTGAACCGCAAATGAAGATCCTTCCTAAAGATCTCCATGTCCTCGAGTCGCTCATCCTGTGCATCGACAATTCCTGGCCGAGTATTCTGGTTGGGCCAGCTGGATGTGGCAAAACGACACTGATCAGAAAGCTTGCCGCCGTCAATGGTGCGAATCTGACGGAGCTGGCTCTCAGTGCTGATACCGACACCATGGACCTTATCGGTGGCTTTGAGCAAATCGATCACCGAAGGGAAGTCTCAACCTTTGTCCATGATCTTGAGATCTTTCTTCAGCATCAGATATTGCACGCGCATGCATCAGGTGAGGTCACAGATGTCGTTACCTCAGCCCTCCAGATTTGCGAGCACCTCAAGAGCTCCGAGGCCTCACTGGATGCCATTCTCTCGTCACTGTCCAATTTGTGCCAGTCTTACCCTGAACCAACCCTTCAGCAATTGCTCAGCAGAGCCCAAAGCCTGGGAGATGCTATCAACCAGTCCGACAAAATGAAGGTTGGTTTCGAATGGACTGAGGGTGTTTTGACCCAGGCCGTCCAGCATGGGTACTGGGTTGTTCTCGACAATGCCAATCTGTGTAATCCATCTGTCCTGGATAGATTGAACTCCCTGACTGAGCCGAATGGTACCCTCATTCTCAACGAACAACGTACGGAGGATGGATCTGCTCGCATTATCAAGCCGCATCCCAATTTCAGACTCTTCCTGACCGTGGACTCTCGTCACGGGGAGTTGTCTCGAGCCATGCGGAACAGATGCGTTGAGATCTGCTTCATGGCGAACGAGCTTCAACAGAGTCCCGCTTCACTCGGCCCATCTTACACCTGTGAATCCTCTCTCTATCGCATGCGCCAAATTTGGAACACCAACATCTCCGTGCCTTCGGCTGCGTATGAAGACTCATTCGAAGTACGCTTGGATCATTTGTCCCCAACAGACCTTTCCTACCTTCAACAGTCACCCGGCATATCGCTTAGCCACCTTTACGATTCCAATGTGAAAGAGCAAGCATTCAATGTGCTGCAGCGCTATTCCTCTCTGCTTCATGACAACGAACAATGGAGACCTCTCGACATCGCAGGAAACCAAATTGATCTAGGCGGAGCATCTCTTGGGCTCCAGGGATCTTTGCAGCCACTTCACCCTCTTGTGAACGAACCTCTCGTTTCAATTATCGGAGCTAGTGATGTCCGATCGGGGCTCAGCATTCTAGCCTATTTGCAAGAGTTCAGGCTCAACATCCAACAGTTGAAACAGAGAATGCTTCAAGCAGATGCATCCGGAAAGCAGCTGAAGCCAAGTCAAATGACACGTTTGGAGCGATCACTGGCCTCGAAACGGATACCCTCTCTGATGAAGGACACGACGCAACCTGTTGGCGATTTCTTGTCGGATTGTGGTCAAACCCTGTACGACTACATTCAAGGCTTGGATCATGTCGCTATTCAAACCCCTGAAATCGTTACGGCTATCCAAGCAGTGATTTACCTCTGCTGGGATATTTTCAGGGCCACGGAAGTCAGCCAGGTTGACGAGGGTGAATTCCAGGTCTATCTTCAGATTGGTCGGAAGGTTTGTGCCGCGATTCTCAGCACGTTACCAGTTCTGAAGCCACTGGAACTCGCACTGTCCCACGCGCTGGACCGTTTCCAGGAAGGCTGGGCATTGAAGACGGGTCTTAGTATGCAAAGAATGTGGGATGCTTGGAGGCCTGTCACTCCTATCACGCAGGAAAAGCTGCAGTCCTTGATCGAGCTGGAGACCACAGTATTTGATTTCACTACCTTGGCTTTGCAAATGCGAATCGACCTTTCTCAATTGAGCAGCATCAGAAACTCGCTGATCGATGCCCAACGATTCATCCTTCTGGACGGCGCCGATGCAGATGCACTTGTGCAGGGAATCAAGCAGACTGTGACGGAACTCTCTCAAGCTGTTCGACGCTCCGATTCGACTCAATACCCATACTTCTCGGAAGAGTTTGAAGCGTTGTGCCAATACCATGACCTTCCTCTCTCGAGCAAGCGGAGCCGAGACGACCCAGTGATCCGAACAGTCATGCCATTGCTCGCCGGTCGCCCTGCACGCCCCTTGGACACATCTAATTTCCAGAGTTCCGTTCCGGACATGCTCCATAGGATCTCACTCTTTTCGGGAGCGGCAAGCAAGTCAGGCTCTGCTCTTGCTGTAGAGGGCATTGTTTCTTTGTCGCTGCTAGGCAAGCTGGCATCAGTCAGTGCTACGAGTTTGGGGCAGATGGACATGCTTGAGGCAGAGAAACGAACACTCTCCAAGGCTATTTCTTTCAGCAGTCAACAAATCTCCATTGATCAGTCTATGAAGCTCAGAAGCGTGCTTGCGACTTTGACAGCAGAGTTGGTGGTCTCTCACCAGGAATATCTTCATCCACACTGTGCCCAACACCTGATTACACTTCTTCGTGCTATTGAGACTGGTGACTCGATGGACAATCAGGCTTTGGACGAGATTATCTTGGATCAAGGTGTACCAAATGATCACTTCTTCAAGGCTTTCTCAAGGAAAGTTCTTCCGAGCCTCATTCAATCCTTGAAACAGCACCATCTTGATCGAGAGCAAAGCATCAGGGCCACTGGGATGGCAGCTGTGCAATTGGCCGTCATCCTTCTGAAGCTCTTCGTGCCGGACAAGCCGTTCGATCCCTCTCTCGGTCTGGTCGTTCAACGCAAACGTCATTCTCAACGCCTTGCCGAACTCAGTGCCAAGTCTGAAGCCATTTCATCGTTTGAATTGACTTTCTCCGGTCAATCTTGCAACTTGCGTTCAGATCTCTTGCAGTCTGAAATCCAGAATCTGGGCTCTGCTCCTCCTCCGTCGTCAGTTACTCGGCCGCAGCAGTCGCAGCTCAGCCTTTTACAAGGCGAATTCGCGAACTTGATCAATTCCGTTCTGAATAGGGATCCTGAGCAACTCTTGAGGTCGACCGAAGATGTTCCGCGGTCGAAGGAGATGATTCGCCTGCTACGTGAGAACATCCACCAACTGGGCCGTCGACTCAGTGCGCACTACAGGTCTTATGACGACATCACAGTTCCTGTTGTTCGTTTCCTTCAGCTGCTTGACGTTGGCCTGTCCCTCGGCTCTAGTCATATGGAGCAGTCTGGCGACCTTCAAGACATTCAATCCGTAAGCGAACGAACGCCATTCTTAGGAGGCAAGATTCACCCTGTCCTCACGACCGGCAACTCCGAGTATCCCTCATCAAGTCCAAGCAACGCAATTCAGATGCGCCTCCATGAGCTTTCGACTCTTTCAGCCGCCAAAGGTGCAGACTCAACAATTCTCAACGTCAAATCTACGCGTGATACTGTTCGCTGGATATTGGCAGACTTCCATGCACTGTGGAAAACAAAGCTGAAAGAGGACCAGGAACAGGAGGCGGCAAAGTCGGACCTGTATCGCTACAAAGGCTCGTGGGAAGATGAAGAGGAGGTCAATGAAACCGAATTGCATCAGCTTTTCCCTACTTACGAGGATGACTCTCTCCATGGACCTGAGGGTGTTGACCGCGTTGACCCTAGAGCCATATCTGTGCGACTTGCCTCGCTTCATGAAAAGATTGTTGGAGATCAGTCCACCGGAGCGGAATTGTCTACTTTCGTCAAAGAATCTGCTCGCCTGCTAGGCTCCATGTGGTCAAAAAACAAAACCACGTTGTCGCCCGTGCAGCCGCAGGATCATCTGCCTGCCGTTCTCTTGCTTCTGGACGATGTGGTAGGAGAAGGGACCGAAAATCGCCCGAAGAACTACAACTTCTACACCGACTCGAATCTCCTCGAGGCTAGAAAGCTTGTGGATTTCACGCTTGCTATCCAGTCTCGCTTCCTTCAGATCCAAACAGCCTGGCCCGAACATGCTGTCCTCCAGGATGTCATTACCTGCTGTACGGAGATACTTCAATTCAAGCATACCGAGCCGGTTGCCAAGTTTCTGACCAAGGTTGAGAAACTTCACTCTTTTGTTCACGAATGGCAGCTGGTGGCTAGCAGAGAGTACTCGGCTGCTTCGCTCTATGATGAAATCACGAAAATGACCATCGGTTGGCGCCGCCTGGAACTGTCAACGTGGGCAAAGCTACTGGATCTTGAGAAGGAACGATGTGATGAAAACGCAAGTTCATGGTGGTTCATCGCCTACGAAGCCCTCTTCGGTGCTCCTGTTCAGATGGCGGAGGCTGGTGAGACAGACTTGAGCGAGCACGTTTATGGCGTGATCTCCACCCTGGAGCAGTTCTTCCAATCTACAACTCTGGGTCAATTCACTCGGCGACTAAATCTCGTTGCGAACTTCCATGCTCTGCTTGCTGCCTTTGTCCAAGATTTCGACTGCCTACAACCGCTTGTTTCTGCGCTGGGCAACTTCCTCTTCCATTATCGACCTTTCGAGGCGCCGGTGGAAAAGATGCTCGCTGAGAAGAGGTCGACCCTTGAAAAAGACATCAAGGAACAAATTCAGCTGGCAAGTTGGAAGGACACTAATATCGTTGCGCTGAAGGTAAGCGCCAGAAGGTCGCACGTCAATCTGTTCAAACTGGTCCGCAAGTATCGCCAAGTTCTCGGCCAATCAGTGCAGCCTGTCCTCGAACAAGGCCTGCCGGATACCAATGGAGAGGCTAGTCAAGCTGAAACTGTGATGTCAGCTCCGCCTTCTGTGTTCCCTGAAGCCTTGATCATTTGCCAAAAGGATACCCAGTTGTGGTCAAGCAGAGCACTCAGATTCCGAAACCCAGACGGCACAGCTGGGAACATGATGAACGTGTATTCGTCACTTCCTGCGGAGTTCGACGTGTCCAATGAACTTGAGGCTTTCACAGTTTCCGTCATCGAGAGCATCGACGAATTCAAGTCTCAGACGCCGAAGACGCTCACTGAGGAAAACAAGGATGATGTCCAGCATCTCAAGGTGCAAAAGCGTCGACTCTACGCGGATACTCTCAAACGCCTCTTCGAGATGGGCGTGAAGCGCAATGCCGGAACCAGTGTGATCGAAACTCAGACCTCGCTCGCACAAGTCCTTGCCACCAGCGCAGAGTTTGAATATGGCAGTACTACCCCGAGCTCGATCCAAAGTGCCGACTCGTACTTCCACAGGCTTCTGGACTACCTGCCCCGTGCCCGCCTGGCTTCGCGCAATTATTCCGAGGAACTCAGCAACGTCGAGGTTTTCAGAAGCATGGGATCTATTGAGCACCTTCTTTTCATATCCAGGAGACAGAGAGGTATCATCTCGCCAACGCTTTCCGAACTGGCGAGATTCAGATCTACGCTCGGCACGATGGAGAATCTCTGGACAACGGGCTCGGCGTTGCTCTCAAGAGCCCAGCCGGCCGAAGTGGAAGATCGGACAGACTTGACTCGGGTTGTTGCTTGGTTGATTCCTATTCTTGAATTGGCCAGCACGATTCTTCAAGTGCATTCGAAGTTCTCGAGTCTTGATGCCTCTTCAATCGTTGAAGAGCTACTCACCAACAAATCTGGGCTTGAGAAGCTGCGCCGATCTCTCGATACCCTGGCTGTTTTGCCATCTGGTGTTGGTTCCAAAACGCACCAGGAGACTGTGCAGCGGACGCGTTCGGCACTTGAGCAGTTGAGCCATGACTTGACGCGATGGAGCCAGTCCCGTCCCGACTTGTCCTTTGCTTTGGATCAAATAGCCCCCTGGGTCCACATCAAGCTCGTCTCTCGCTCGGAATCCATAGCACAAGGCGATATTTCTCTCCAAAGCTTCGACAAGAATCTTCTTGGGGCCATTGACAAGATGCTCATCGGTCTCCAGCAGCTCAAGGATGTGCCTTCCGCTATTGACTTCCCTGGACAACTATCCAGAAGCGATGAGTTCTTCGCACGGGCATTGAAGGCCGTCCATCTTCCCGAAATCACGTCGTCGCTGCAGGCTGCTCTTGATCAAATCCAAAGCCTGCAAAACCACTCCTCTGGCGATATTTCCACCGCGGCCGCTCTAGTTACCAGCGTTCTCCCAATTGCCAACAGATACTATCAGATCTGCCAAGATCTGACGAATCGCTTCATCTCAGTCCACCGTGAGGTCTGCAAGACGTCGTACATCCTGACCAAGACGTTCACGCAGATAGCCTCTGAGGGCTTCTGCAGTCCAGCTGAGGCATCCGAAGAGTCTGGTAAAGATGGCAAGTTGGAGAGTGGAACGGGTCTCGGTGACGGGGAAGGCGCTGAAGACATCAGCAAAGACGTCGGAGAGGACGAAGATCTCTCGGAGCTGGCGCAGCAGGAGAAGAAAGAAGACGCTAAGGAAGAGATGGATGACTCCGCTGACGCTGTCAACATGGATCAAGAAGAACTTCAGGCCGAGACTGGTGAACAGCAGGACGGCGAAGAGGACAAGGAAAAGGATGAGGATGGTTCCGAAGAGGAGGACAATATCGATGACGAAGTAGGAAGTGTCGACGATCTTGATAATGCCGCTGTTGATGAGAAGCTCTGGGACGGTGACCACGACGAACAACAGAAAGAGACCGAGAACAACGAAGGCAAGGGAACTGGCGAGGCTGAAGATCAGGCTGCTGCACAGGAACAAAAGAAGGAGGATGAGAAGGGAGAGAAGGGAGACGAACAGGAGGATGAAGAAGCTGACGAGGATGAAGAGGCACCTGATGATGAAGGCGAGGCGGTTGGTCGTGAAGATATGGATGTGACAGACCCTCAGACCAAGGAAGAGGATGCCCTGGACCTTCCAGAGGAGATGCAGTTGGACGGCGATGAGAAGGAGGGAGGCGAGGAAGATGATGATGATGGCATAGATGACATGTCCGACATGGGCCCTCTTCCCGAAGACGACGAGAAGATGCAAGAGCAGGATGAACAAGGTGGAGATGAGGATGCGGATATGCCACCTGATGAGGAAGTGACAGGAGAGGATGAAGAAATGGGCGACGAAGGCGGTGCCGACGAAGCTGAAGAGAACGGTGATGAGAAGGAAGCCGACGGTGAAGAACCCGAGGAGCCAGAACAAGACGACTTCCTTGCCCAGCGCGACGAAAATGAGGCCGCCGGCGACAATGTTGCTGAAAGTGAAGCTGTCACTGGTGGACTGGGTGCTGATCAGGACCAAAATGAGGAGAAGGGTGCTTCTGGTGATGCCCAGCAGGAGAGCGGCTCAAATGATCCTAGCGCCAATGCAGAACAACAAACGGGTGCTGCAAAGGATAGCGAAGAAAGCAAGCGAAGCCGGGACGCGGGTGGTGCCGACGATATGACCCCCAACGACCCTCAAATGCAAGCCTTCAAGAAACTGGGCGATATCCTCGAGCAATGGCATCGACGACAAAAGGAGGTTTTGAACGCATCGCAGGAAGAGGAAGACTCGCAGCCTCTACCTCAAGATACCGATATGGCCGATGCGGATTTCGAGCACCTCAAGGACGACGATGATGTCGCTGACACCCAGGCTCTCGGACAAGCGAGTGAGGACCAGACACAGGCCCTCGACCAGAACAAGGGCGTGGAGTCTGATATCAAGCCGGGGGAGAATGAAGTGCTCCCGGATGTCTCGGACGACTATCAAGACGCTCTGGACAATCAACTCGAAGACCAGATGCAGTTGGACCGCGATACCGTTACTACGGATGACCAAGCGGCTGGAGCTTTTATTCCCAGTGGCCAGACCTCCCATGACCGTATGGACGGCGCGCCAGAGGCACAAGAAGCTACGGAGGAACTGGACGAAGTTGACACGCAACTCGCGGCTATCCACCTCTCCTCCTCGCTGCCCGCATTGACACCCCAACATGAAGCCAGGCGCCTGTGGTCGCGCTACGAATCTGCGACGAACGACCTCTCACTGTCCCTGACCGAGCAGCTCCGTCTCATCCTCGCCCCGACGCTAGCCACCAAGCTCCGCGGCGACTTCCGCACCGGCAAGCGTCTCAACATCAAGCGTATCATCCCCTACATCGCATCCCAATACAAGCGCGACAAGATCTGGATGCGGCGCTCGATCCCCTCAAAACGGAACTACCAAATCATGCTCGCCGTCGACGACAGCAAATCCATGCTGGAAAGCGGCAGCGGCCAACTCGCGTTCGAGACGCTGGCCCTGGTAGCCAAGAGTCTGAGCATGCTCGAAGTCGGAGATCTGTGCGTCCTGGGCTTCGGTAATGAGGAACACGTCCGCGTCGCGCACGAGTTCGGCAAACCCTTCTCCTCTGAGGCCGGCATGCAGGTGTTCCAGCATTTCAGCTACCAGCAAACCGGCACAAATGTGCGCAAGTTGATCGCCGACTCGATCGCGCTCTTCCGTGAGGCACGCTGGAAGCGCTCCCCTGGCGCTGGCTCCGCGGATCTGTGGCAGCTTGAGCTGATTATCTCCGACGGTATCTGCGAGGACCACGATACTATCCGTCGTCTTGTGCGCCAGGCTCTTGAGGAACGCATTATGATTGTCTTTATCATCGTTGATGCGGTCAAGGGCAGCTCCATCCTTGATCTTTCGCAGGCGAGCTTTGAGCCTGATCCCATGGCTGGTGGCGAGATGAAGCTTTCTATGAAACGGTACCTGGAGGGTTTCCCTTTCCCCTACTATCTTGTTGTTCGGGATGTGCGTGAGTTGCCGGCTGTGCTCGCCACCGCGCTGAAGCAATGGTTTGCCGAGGTGGTTGATGTGTCGTCGTGATGTATGTAGTTTTTTTTTTCCTTTGTTTCCATGTCGTGGCGTTTGGGATGGCTTTTGTATATAAATGATAGATTTTATTAGAACATGTTTGTACATGAAACTAAATCATCTCTACTTTTCCTACAAATGTAGACTTGACTCGTAAATATGGACCGAAAATGCAGTAGATGGCTGCTGGTATCTCATAATATCCACCTTCACTACCACCCATACCTTGAGCCCGCCTCCTTCTTGTTCCGCCTCCCCGTCGCAAAACTTTCCTCCAGCGCTTCACGCTGTGAATTCGCGGCATTGACCAGTTGCTGCAGTGTATGTTTGCCTGGCGCAATGGCCCGCACGGGATTGTGCTGCTGCGCAGCCAGTTCGCTCTGCGCCATCGCCTGGTTCGACGCGTACTCCTGGTCCGTGTTGAAGGTGAGGACCCGCGACTCTGCGGGAATGGCATTCCGGCCAAGTAGCTGGCGGCGCTCGGATTTGGATAGATTGAGATCGTTGGCGATTGTGTTGAGGGATGCGGGATCGAAGGATGCAGCACCAGCGTGATCATCTGGTGTGGTGGAGGGTATAAATTCTGATGCCGGTGCTGGTCCAGCGGATGGGGCTTCGTTTTCGGTACTGTAGACCAGTGGCTCATAGGCTGTAGCGGGTGCGGGGGCCGCGTCTGATCGATCTTCCGAAGATAGAGAGAAGAGGCTGACTTTCGGTTTTGGTGGTGCCGGGGCTGGGGCCGGGGCTAAATCTGGGCCAGACGTATTTTCTGTCTGGGATGTGCTAGGCACTGAAGACTCGGCCGTAGTTGGTGCGGCTGGTGTTGGTTGGGGTGTAGTAGATTTGGGAGCCTTCTTCTTCTTCTGATTCGGTCTTCCCACAGACAACGGCCGAAACATCATCGGATTGCCCTGGAGCTTGACCTGCCCCGAATCTAACTTCTTCTCCTCTGGGGCATCGGTAGATTTCGCAGCACTATCGCCAGGCATGATAGACTGCCCATTCGCCTTTCCATCATCAAATGGCTGACCGATCCCCATCTCCACGTCTGCGTCCCGATCAAATCCCGGTGTTGCGCCAGTCTTCAAGCTGAACACCTTCCGGTTCGGTGGCGCCGGCGCTTTCTTCTCGGCAGCCCGTTTGGGAGCTGGCAGCAGCGCGTTGAAACCGGAAAGGGCACCGCCCCCGCCCCCTCCTAGGCGTGCCTTTTTGCGCGCGGGTCCATCGTCTTGCTGGTCTTGGGAGGGGTCGGGCTTGAGCTCCGGGAGCGCGACGCGGATCTTCCGCGGGTTGCTGCGGTCGACCTGAAACCCGGTAGCCGACTCTGTCTGCTTTGTTGTTACGGAGGGTGCCGCAGGGGTGGTCTCTGGTTCGGCATCTGAGCCCTCGGAGTCGGAGTAGGCTACCAGCGCCATGATGGGAGAGAGGGTGGGAATGGTAGGTGAGTTGTTGAGTCAGAAAGAGTTCCCATGCGTCGATGGAGATTTGTCGATGCCTGACGTTGGCCCATAATGGTGCCCGGTTAATCAGGCAGCAATTTAATAAGGCAGCAATTAAGGATTCTTCTGATTACATAATCCGGGGATTGGGGGCAGTGAGCTTCGCATGCAATCGCGATGGCGCACTCACTCCCTAAAGGACCTAATACGGTGTATCTATAGACCATTCTCATCCTCCTCCAGCGTCTAGTAAACTCAATGCCGAAGCCGTGCACGGACCAAAACCACCACTCACCACGTCATAACGTCATCGGCGTCATCCGGTTTGGCCGTCCGCATCTTCACTGAGCTCCGTAGTATGGGATGGGGGATGGGAGTCTGATTGCAGAATTCATGACCCTCCCAGGACCATGGGATGAAAGACAAGCACCATAGTTAGTTAGTAGAGAATTGACATCCCCTATAACAAACCGCAAGGATCCCAACCTCCCCGATCGATCAATGCGTCATTCGCCCCTCCCCACACCTTCTCCTTCTCTTTCTCTCTCTCTCTCTCTCTGTGTGTGCCTCCCCCTTCCCGTCGGCCCCCGTTCCGTTCCTCAATCCCACCCTCTCTTCTTCCCTCCACCTCCCCATGCCGAACCTAGGAGGTCTGTTGAAAAAGCGGCGAAAGGATTCGTCGATCTCGAAGGATTCCGACCAACCCCACCCCTCGAATAATAACCCGCCCTCTTCCTCCTCTCCTCCCACTCAGACCCCCGACGGTGAAGGCGCCTCCATGCAAACGCAATCGCACCCAACGCCGCCGCAACCGCAGCAGCAGAGCCACCAGAACAATGCCTCTAGCGTCAATGACCTAGCCAATACTGGCACGGCGGGCAATGCCCAGACTGCCAGCTCTCAGCCCAAGGAGCGCAGCACCAGGGGCAAGTACGCACAGGAAGACTTCACCCTGCAACGCACCCTCGGCACCGGAAGCTTCGGTCGCGTCCACCTCGTGCAGTCCAAGCACAACCACCGCTTCTACGCAATGAAGGTGTTGAAAAAGGCCCAGGTGGTCAAGATGAAGCAGATCGAGCACACCAACGACGAGCGGCGGATGCTCAATCGCGTGCGCCATCCCTTCCTCGTCACGCTATGGGGCACCTGGCAGGATTCGCGCAATCTGTACATGGTCATGGACTTTGTCGAGGGGGGTGAATTGTTCAGTCTGCTGCGCAAATCACAAGTGCGTCGCGTGTCCCGAATCCCCCAACCCAGCGCTCGGCTAACCTTTCCGGGATCTCTAGCGATTCCCCAACCCCGTAGCCAAATTCTATGCCGCCGAGGTGACTCTGGCCTTGGACTATCTGCACCAGAACCAGATCATCTACCGTGATCTGAAGCCGGAGAATCTGCTCCTGGACCGTCATGGCCATCTGAAGATCACCGATTTCGGATTCGCCAAGGAGGTGCCTGATATTACCTGGACGCTGTGCGGGACGCCGGATTATCTGGCACCGGAAGTGGTTTCGTCCAAGGGCTATAACAAATCTGTCGACTGGTATGTCTGTGCGAATTGTCCGTGTTGGTCCGTCTAACCTGGTCTCTAGGTGGTCATTGGGAATCCTGATTTTTGAGATGCTGTGCGGGTTCACTCCGTTCTGGGACAGTGGCTCTCCGGTCAAGATCTATGAAAATATTCTCCGCGGCAAGGTCAAGTATCCGCCGTACCTGCACGAAGATGCGGTCGACCTCCTGTCCCAGCTCATCACATCCGACCTCACCAAGCGCCTGGGCAATCTGCACGGAGGATCAGAAGATGTCAAGAACCACGCGTGGTTCGCCGAAGTCACTTGGGACCGCCTGGGCCGGAAAGACATCGATGCCCCATATATCCCGCCCATCCGGGGAGGCCAGGGCGATGCCAGCCAGTACGACAAGTATCCCGAAGAGACGGAGCACTACGGCATGGAGGGCGAAGACGCGTAAGTTCCTCCCTCCGATTTCATACCCCTCCCTAATGCGTGCTCTAGATACGGACATCTTTTCCCAGATTTCTAAAGCGCTTGTATAATTTAATGACGAACGAGATGAAAAGGCCGCGCCCGGGGGTTATTTGGAGTCGCCGCGAGCGGTATACGAAAAATTCACTTTCCGTTGGACTTTTTTGGATGGATGCGATATATCAGCCCTGATTGAATGGAATTGATTGAGTAGTATTTTCTGTTCTTCCTTTCCCAATATCTATCGTGAAAACAGAAATTCCGCCGCCCAGCCCATAGTTTACACGGGCGGATCTGGCCGCCGATATTGTACATTGTGATTGATCATCCTCGAGTTATTCGTAGCAGCCCGCTGTCATTGAACGACGAACTCAGCTCAACCCTCCGTTGCTCCCCTCCGGAGATCCAGTCGCCATGGCCGCAAAAGCAGCCGCATCCTGGCCGCCCAGGCGCTTGCTTTCTTGCCCGACGCGGGCGATGTAGGTGCGGCTGGTGACGTTCCACATGGCGATGTACTTCTCCATACAGCTAGACAGGCAGCTGCTCTCCTTGGAGGAGAGGGTAGAGCCGGGCGCGGGGATACAGGCATCGAAGCAGTGCTCGTTGATTTTCTGGTTTAGGAGAGTGGTTAGAAGCTTCAATGGAGGAGGGCGGGAGGAATACGCACTCCGATCAGAGCGCGGGCGTTGGCCATGGCGGCTTCCTGTTGCAGCTGGCGCACGATGGCGGACTTGACATCCTCGGCGGGTTTGGCCGGGGCGGCGGAGGAGGATCCGAAGAACGACATTATGGAATATTGGTGTGGAGGAGGGCGTGGGTGGTTGTAGAGGTGGAAGAGAGAGAGGTGTGAATTGAAGAGTAAAGTGAATGAATGGGAAGAGTTCGGTCCGTGGCGCAGTCGTTCGGCCCCCAGCCACAGTTGGATCATTGGGGCCACCGTAGCATAACAACGATATACTTGAACTCTTCTGCAATTGCTTCCACTCCTTACCTTGTTCGATTTTCCTTCACCTTGCCTCCCTCCTCTTTTCCATCCCGGGTCCTCGGGTCCTGGTGACACCGCGACCGTCTTCTCTTCTACCCTTGTTCCTCCTTCCCTGTCTCTAGTCCACTGGACCCTTAATTCACCATGCGCCTCCCGTCCCTCTCCTCCCTCCTCTGCCTCGCGGGCCTGGCGTCCCTGCCAGTGACTACAGCCTACGACGGCGATGACCCCAATATCAAGAGCATCCCCGTATGTACACTATACCTATGCCTATACCCCATGTTGGACGGTAAACAACCTCGGTACTAATGCGTGACGGTCTTCCAGCTTCGCACCCACAGTCTCGCTCCGGTATGCTCGCCCTAGCTTTCTCATGTCATTGACAACAAGCTTGCTTTGGTCGTGTGTTGCAGAACAATCCTTGTTGACAACTACTGCACAGCCATATCTCGATTCCGACTTCCAAAGCCGCTGGTTCGACTTCGGGGGAGACACAATCATCCGCGCTGACAAGTAACTGCCTGCCTCTCCTCCTCTGCTGTGAACCAGTGCTAACTGGTAGCAATCCTAGATATATCCGCCTAACCTCGGACCGCCCATCGCAGCAAGGATGGATCTTCTCGCGCGTGCCACTGACCGCGACTAATTGGCAGGTTCGTGCGGAACACCCGACCTAGGATTGTTTGTTTGAGGCTTACACAGAGCCTGTTAGATCGAACTCGAGTTCGCAATTCACGGCGAGGGCAACTTGCACGGCGATGGCTTCGCCCTATGGCTCACCAAGCAGCGCGCCACACAGGGTCCGGTCTTTGGTTCCGCAGACCAGTTCGAAGGCCTGGGTATTTTCTTCGATACCTACAAGAATAACCGCCCCGGCACGTCGTTCCCCTACGTTATGGCCATGATGGGTGACGGGCAGACCACGTACGATCAGGCGCACGACGGCAAGGCCAACGAGCTGGCCGGCTGCTCCGTGAGTGATACCTTTCTCTTAATATTCCGTCTGCTAACCTAACCAAATACAGGCCCGCGGAATTCGAAGCGCCCAGATCCCAACCAAGGCCCGTCTCGTCTATTTCCAGGACAAGTCCCTGACCCTGGACCTGCAATACAAGACCGAGGACACGTGGACGAACTGCTTCACTCTGTCCGCTGACGACGGCAATATCGCCATCCCCTCTGTCGCGTACCTGGGTCTGTCCGCCGAAACGGGTGAGCTGAGCGACGCCCACGACATCATCTCGCTCAAGGCAGAGAACCTGTACTCTATCAGCCGGGGCCAGAATAACGCTGGTAGCCGTGGTCCTTCATCGGATGGCCGGACCAACAACAAGTCCTCCTCCAAGAAGGAGAAGACTGGCGGTAGCTGGTTCGGGTTCTTGTTTAAGACAGTGCTCTTCTTCGCGGCTATTGTTGGTGGGTATATGGGCTGGACGATCTACCGGACAAAGGCACGGTCTTCGCGGTTTTGATTTGCTTGGGAGAGGGTACAGGAATTGAATGAGGATGGATATGGAAATTGTTGTTTTTTTTTTTTTTTTTTTTGGTTTAAAAATGTCCGGTTCTTGAATGAACTCGAGATGCATACATAGCTCTTCCCACAATTCTGGTTCTTTTCTTTTTTATCCTCGAAATAAATGAACTCCAGTCATAATCCAATAACCATATATAGACCCGGGGTATCGATAATCATGAAATGCGCCGCTCATATGCAATGCCGTTCACACTTTCGCTCTCTCCTCGCTCCACATGCGATCCACGATCTGGAATACCTCTGTGACGCTGCGCATCACAACTTCATCAATGCCAAGAACCCCATACCGATGCTGGATCTTATCCGGATGCCAGCGAACACGCTCCGTCTTGAGAACAGACAATAAATCCTCCTGTGGCGGAGGTGCATGGCGCATAAATTCCTCCACCGAAGCAGGCGCCACATCCCTGCGCTTGCCAGATTCAACGGGCCAGAACAGTAGATTCCGCAAAGGCTTCACATCCTCCGACTTCTTCTCGTCCGCAGATGAAGACCCCGTTGCAGACGCAACGACCCGAGCAATCTCCTCCCATGACTTCAGATAGTTCCCCCAAAGACCCTCCCACGTCCGCTTCCTCTTCCTCTCCCGTCCCCGCCGAAGACTCTCATCCATCGCGCGCTCGAACTCCGCTCGTTCCCGCTCAGCCGTGCGGCCCTGCTCCTCGTTCTTGCGCTGTCTCATGCGCTCTGCCCGCGCCTGGGCCTGGGCCTCTTCCATCCCCTCCCGCGTGCGCTCCCACATTCGCGCGCGGACATATGCTGCGTATTCATCCTCGGTCATTTGCTCCAGTTCCCCCTCTGGTCCCGTGGGCACCTGCGGAACGCTGTAGTTGTGGATTGGTTGCCCGTAGACGCCCTCCCAGTATGAGGCACCTTCGTCGTCGCCCATCGCATCGAAGAGGGATTCCCGGAATGCCGTTCGAGGCGATAGTGGGGGTTCGCCATGGTCATTGGCGGGGGCGTTGCTTTCTCGGCGTTGTTTGTGGCGGTGTCTGCGGCGCCGACGTTCGTAGTGGTCTTCGTGTCGGGATTTCTCGTCTGCGGTTCCGTGCCGACGGCGGTGGCGGGATGAGCTGCTCTTGAGCCGGAAGCGCCCTTTGCTGCCGCGATGCTTGCTGTAGTCGTCGTGCGTATTGTTCGGGGCGTCCGAAGGTGATTTTGCCTCGTTTTCCGGGGGCCCACCCTCTGCCGGAGGGGCGTCCATCGTGGATGGTGTGCCCTGGCGCTGGTGTGCAGATTACAGATTTGTTGGGAAAGACATTCAGGTGAGACTCGCAGACGAGGCGTTTGTAGATGGAAAGAAAGTGAGGACAACCAGCGATAAGGTACTCGCTGAGTCAGCCTTGTCTTATCTTATCGGACTATCTAGCATTGTTTCCTCCATCTCGATATCCTCAAACATCTCGTCCAACTCTCGCCCATTGACCCAGTCATCCACTGCATTCGCAAACCACTGTGGCTCTTGAATCCACCACTCATGCCAGATTCGACGGCACTGCACCACACGGCTCCCATTCTCGCGTCCACCCACCACAGCGCGAGACAGTTGCTGCGCACTCTCGACCTTGTCCTTGGGGAGCCATGTCTCTCTCGTGGCGGCAACGACCAGTGAGCGTACATGAATATCATTCAACGTCCGCCCATCACACAATGTGCGCACAGCCTCCTCACATAGTGCCAGTGTGCCCTCCCCCTTCCAGAAACGGGTCCACTCCGTCACTGGCGAAGAGACCATTCCAATGGTACGCTGCAGAGTATATATGAACGGTGGAAAGAGTGCTACCACGAACCTCCGTGGCAAAAATGTATTGAATCCTGACCCAAAGACTGAAGAGATATGCGCTAGCCCTCCGAGCGCTGCAAGACTCGCTGCTACATGTGCACCCAGACTCATGCCGACGATATGTCCCTTGCCGTTGTGCGCATGTGTTTTGATCAATGACAGCAACAGCTCTGCCGCAAGCTCCACGTTGAATGGCTGGATTGCCACCGAGTCGCCATGGCTGGGTAGGTCAGGGACGAGCAGGTGGTAGTTTTTCGCTGTGAGGAGTGGCACAACGAGATCCCAGTCCTTGCGACTGCTGAATCCGCCATGGATCAGGAGGATGGTCTCGAGGCCCTCTGGGTTATGGGCTGCGAAGGAGAGCGCCGCACCTGAGGGGCTGGGTTCGACTGAGGGGGCCATAGGCTGCTCAATGTGTTTCCCCGGTGCTATTCAAGGGTGTGGAGTGATTTCTGAGCTGAGGGTAGATATCAGGAAGTAATCAACTTCTTATCTACAGCTGATGGAGTAGCTGTTTTGGGCTGCCTACGCCACCAACTCTCCATGTCAGCACCAATGGGGGCCATATTATGATCTACGGCCTAGACATTCACAACCACAGCTGCACTCGGGCAGGCCAGTCTGTCTCCTATCATCACACATTCCAATTCTCACACACAGAAGCCTCTTCAATACTTTCTTGCTTCTTGCTTCCTACTTTCTGACCCAAGTCTTCCAATCTCACGAGTGCAAGTGCTGGAAATGTGCTGATGCATAGCTCCTTTCCATCCGGTCTTCACAAGTTTTCGCGTTAGTCATCGAGTCTTTGTTCGACTGGCCCAGTGGTTAAGGCGCCCGTCTTACACACGGGAGATCGCAGGTTCGATCCCTGCGTCGAACATTTTTGCTCTATTTTTGGTCGATTAGTGATGGAATCGACTGAATAGATATTGTCTTGATGGCCCAGATTAAAGATGGGATGAATAGGGGAAGATTAGGGAAGTCACAGTGCTATGAGCAATGGGGTTGAAACCAAAGTGGTTATTGGTCTGAACATTGTTATTCAAGTATAGTTTGCAAGTAATAAAAAGAACAATTAAATGTCATAATCAGTCTATACAATCAATCCTTAAACCTGCCGATTTACAGAAAAGCAGCAGTCAAGCCCACAAACCCACCGACCAGGGGGAAGATACCCCGAATACCATTCAGCGTAGTCCAAGTATTCAACAAACCAATCGTCTCCTCATCCGACGGCTCCGACTTCGACAGCGCCGTTTTCTTTAGCGCATTATTGGTGCCCGCCATCGCACCCAGTGTCCAAGGTGGGATAGCCATCACCAGCAGGCCAGCAGCCACATACAAACCCGCCAGGCTCGTCTGGGCTGGGCGGAACAATGCACCCCCTTCGCGAACAGACCAGGCGCAGTAGAAGAGCGCGCCGGCAACTACCACGGAAAGTGGGGGATTCTGCGAACTGCCGTAGTCGTACAGGTGTCGCCATTGCTTGACCAGTATGCTTGTAGGGACATTGTTCTCGCGATGCGAGCGGAGCAGGGAGGGCATGGAGATCATCGACAGGGAGGATATGTTGCCTACGATTTGATTAGGATGTCTGCTATCTAGCAGTAACTAGTAGTGCGGGTAGTTACTTACCGGAAAGCCAGGCTGCACCGGATAAGCCAACGGCTTGCGCAACGCGGAAACTCAAGGGATATTCCATGATGATAGTTGTTGGCGGGGGTTGAAATGCGACGACGAGTTGGGAATGATCAAGTGTGATCCAAGAGGAATGTTGACAAGGCTGGGCGACTAATCGAAACTGCTGAGGGACTGAGAGTACTTTAATATGTTAGAATCTATGACGCTCGGCCGCCTTAAACTTAAACCCTCCGGGTCCAATTTACTAATACAATAGCCATCGCGGCGCGCCCCATGCCCGCTGGACCGGTCCGGCCGCCGTAACCACCGATCCGACCGATGCATGGATCTCGCCGGTCGGTCCTTGGGGAAGTGGGGTCAACATTGCTCGGAGCTCGGATTTTATTCTATGTATTATTATTCTGAAAGGTAGGTATCGCTGGCGACTACATGAGCTCCAACCACAAGGTTATTCAGGAATATTTGTCTAGTCAAAAATCCGGTGGGATCACGCAGCCCTAGAGGCCGAGTCATTTGGGATTTGCCAGAGATCAGATACAGATCTACTTCCCTCCCACTCTTGGTTGATGTTTCACTACCATGCGCCATTTATAGGATTCTATTGCTTTCCCGTGTAAATGGAGTGCTTCTAGCTGTCGTTGATCTCATCGTCAAATAGCCGGGATGACTCGAAAGCTTGTATCCTACCATCTACCTCAGCTTGGCCGCTTTATCAGCCGTCGAAATATCTCTAATTATCTCTGGAGCGTTTCTCTTTACCCTTCGTCTTTATGCTCTACTTTCGGTATGTCGGACCCTACATGCATGCCAAGCTCGGCCAATTATACTTCAGGTGAGGGTAGCTATGAAAGTGTATTTTATTGGCACGTCTCCCTGGCAAACTTCTTTGCGTGTCACTGTACAGCTTTCTAAAATAGGTCTTCGTATCTATGGTCAGTTTTCGCGTATTCTACCACTAGTCGATGTTAATTGGCTCTCGTTGGGTTCCAGATAGCCCTTGCCATGAAGGCCCGAGGTTTCCGAGTCAACTGGAAAGAATGACGATTCACCTTGCAGATGGTCTGAAATCGCGCTTTTTATTCCTCGGCTGAAAAGTTCCGCTCTAGACTCGCCGTATTTTTTAAGGAATTTGCGCGCAACCTTGAAGGAATGGAATGCGGCAGTAACATCAACGCGCCATAGGGACTCGATCTTTTATATTAATCCCCAGTCTAATCAGCGCCAATTTGAAATGAATTTCCCATTTTCTGCAGGCCCCTATAACCTTCTGCTACGCGAGTCAGAGTTGACCACGTCGATCCATTGCTCTTTACCTCGTGGTGGGCAGATCAGCGTTTTAACTCGGCTGGCATGTCACGATTTCTTGGCCTTCGTGGCAATGGCCTCAACATTGCCGCTATTCTTGGCGTCTTGATGCCGGGGATCATGGTAGTCGGCTACAACTCAACGGTACTCGGCGGAGTATTATCTTTGGATAGTTTCGAAAAGCAATTCCCAGAAATCAACGTTGAAATTGCCGACACCCAGTCTTATGCATCAGGACTCCAAGGCGTCGCTGTGGCCGCTTTTACAATAGGCGGGTTTCTCGGGACACTTTCGTGCATCTGGCTGGGGGACTGGCTTGGGCGTCGGCGTCTCATGATGGTAGGATCGGTTATCCAAGTCACCGGGACCATCCTTGCAACCAGCGCCTGCTCCCTTGCACAGCTTATCGGTGGGCGGATAATCATCGGCTTTGGAGTAGGTGAAATCTGGGCTACAGTTCCTCTATGGCTATCTGAGATTTCACCCATCCAAAAGCGTGGATCCCACGTTGCCACAAAAGGTGTCTTTAGCAGTCTTGGATGTGCCACAGCCTTGTTCTTGGACTATGGAATGTCTTTTACGCATGAAAGCATCGCCTGGCGTTTGCCGTTTGGATTTCCAGTTTTTTTCTCTATTGTCATTCTCGGATTTCTTGCTTTCTTGCCGGAATCGCCTCGATGGCTTATTCGACAAGGGAGAGTCAGCGAGGCTAGAGAAATTTTAGCAGCACTGGAGAACACCACTATCGAGGACAATCTTATTGAAGCGAGAATTCTTGAAGTGCAAACCTCGCTGGCACTATCAGGGAAGGGAAAGCCCCTCAAGCAAATGTTCTGCATGGGTCCTCAGAGAACGTTCCACCGAGCTCTTTTAGCTGTTGGTGTTTTGATACTCGGACATTTGACAGGTGCTACAGTTACCACCTTTTATAGTATGGTTTGCCCTACCTTGCACATGTCTTCTCATCGCCACCGACATTAACACATTATTCGCATGTTTAGCAACTGCTATTTTCGAGAACAATCTATTGCTAGGTGAATCAACTTCCAGACTTCTAGCAGCAGTCTACCAGCTGGTCGGTCCTATTGGTGGTATTGTCTGTGTCCTCACAATCGAATCTTTCGGCCGACGAAAATTGATGCTGGCGAGCGCAGTTGGGAACGCCACTTGCCTAGTCTTGCTTGCTAGTCTTGGATCTATGCCTGGCAATCCGTGGGCAACGCACGCTGCTGTCTTCTTTCTGTTTCTTTTCCACTTCACTTACATTATTGGTTTCGGAGGCATCCCATACCTTTATACCACAGAAATTGCGCCTCTACATATCCGCACGACAGTGATCAGCTTGAGCATGAGCATCTCGTGGATGTTTGGCGTTGTCATCACCAGCGTCACTCCGATCGCATTCAACAGCATGGGGCAGCGATTTTTCTTCATCTTTGCGGCGCTCAATATGGCAATGGTACCAGCCATTTACTACCTTTTTCCTGAGACGTCCGGGCGCAGTCTCGAAGAGATGGACGAAATATTTGCCCTCTCAGAAAGCACCTTCGAAGCTGTCAAAGTCGCCAAACGACTTCCGCGTCGTCACTGCAAAAACTCGACGCTCCGGGAAGCAATGGTGGAGATTGCTATCACTACCAAGAAAGTATAGTTCAGTTGGTATATTGGACACCGATACAAGAGTGATTATTAGGTACCGTACTCTATTCTGTCTGGAAAATGTCCGGTGGAAAGCTGGCCGTATACGCACAGACTAGCCAGTCAGTAGTTCGGTAATGCCCATCAGCACCATGACCGTTGAAAGTAGTTATTTTGGCTTCACTTCTTGCCCTCTTATTCTTCTATAAATCTTTGTTTCACGTAGGTGGTAAGAGGGGTGACCCCGATAGAGTAAATAATGCTCCCCAAGCGCGTATCCGATGACAGAAGTGATGGTAGAGGTCATGGAGAGTATTTAATGGAAAACATAACTAAGACTACTATAGAAAAGTGCAAGACATTCTCTCTATCCCAATTACTACCGCAGTGGCTCACTTAGAGTAGGTCACCTCCTAGTGCAAAAACGAATAAGGGCTGTCACCCTCAATTCAGAAAATCACCCTTGGTCTTGGCAAGTTGCTCATCGTAGTAAGGTTGAAATGCAAGCCATCCCTTGTCTGGGCCGCCGACATTCTGTACGGAATATTCCGCCTCCTCTTGAGGAATCAATTTCTTCTTGTAACCGGCGGCAGCAGCAGCATCGGCAAGCAACTGGGCCTGGCAAGTCTTATCGAGACTAATAAACCAGAAGGCAGCTTCATCGACGCTCTGGCCAACAGTCAGAAGGCCGTGATTTTGCAGAATGACTGCCTTCCCATTGCCAATGGAGTCTGCAATGCGCCTGCCCTCTTCGGCATCGACGACGACCCCGCCGTACTGACCGTACACAGCGTGGCAATTATAGAATCTCAGAGAGTCCTGCGTAATCATTTCAAGCTCTCGGCCGAAGACAGAGAAAGCCTTTCCGTGAACACTATGAGCGTGGCAGGCTGCATGAACGTCTGGCCTAGCCTTATGGATCGCCGAGTGAATGGTGAAGGCAGCAGTGTTGATGGGCTCATCGCCCTCCACCACCTGTCCTTCCTCGTCAACCAAGATTAAATCGGATACCTTGATAAGAGCGAAGTGCATCGAGAGAGGATTCAACCCTATGATGCTTAGCAAAGAAGCAGTTAACAGTTATTTGGCTTTTGGGACAAAGTAACATACAGAAGTGATCCGTCAAGATTGGGTCACGGACTGAGATATGCCCAGCGACACCCTCATCGAATCCACGATCAGCAAAAACTCGAAATGCTGCAGCCAAGTGCTGCTTCCGATAAATGCGCTCTTCCTCGAGCGTTGCGAACTTTGGGTATTCACGAATTTTCAGCAACCTGCCGTCTTTGGTCCTTCCCATGGATTGCACCTGGGGAGGCGGCTGCAGCGTGGCAGTGACCGAAGTCGCTGTATGGGTCACAGTTGAACTCATTCTGTTGGCTAACAATATATAGCTGTCTGTAAATGCTGCCAATGCTGAAGCAGCGAGGTCACTGGAGTGGAAGCGTGCTCAAGTGAAGAGTGAAAGACCGCAGGTTGGATGCTAGTGTTAAGTTCTGAATGTGTTCCAAGATATCACTCCCATCAATGTCCCCGCATGACTTCGGAAAAGAGGATCTCGGAAATCATTACTAGAGGCCGGATTTCCACACTAGTAGAATCGCGCGGATACCGATTGGAATGGACTGTCCCGGGGATGTGGGGAAGTCAAAGCCCTCCCCAACTCCCTCGGCCATTTCTCCGGCCTCGGAATTGACGCGAGAGACTTGAGGAATATTTATAGTTGGCCATTACTTCTGCACCCCTCAATTAAAAAGTAGAGAATATATACCAGTGACAAGTACGTCGGATTTCCGTCCTCGTTAGATATAGGCATATCCTACTGTGGCTCACCATGGGAGAGTTAGACGGCAAAGTAAGGCTTCATATCGGAAGGGAGCTTATAGGCCTAACACCACCTTTGTAGGTTATTATCGTCACGGGCGGAGGAGCTGGCTTCGGGAAGGGCTTGGTTGAAGCTCTCACTACCGAAGGCGCCAAAATCGTTGCTGTCGATCTGAACGACGCTAATGTCAAGGCGACGGCCGCCGCGGCACCGCCCAAGTCGTGTGCGGCTCATACCGCCGACGTTTCTTTGGAGTCTTCTTGGAGAGACATTCTCAAGACTGCATTGGACACTTTTGGGAAGGTCGACACCGTTGTCAACTGTGCTGGCGTCCTCCACGATCTCGTTCCCTCCCATGAGGCATCAGAAGACGTATTTGACTTTATGTTTCGAGTCAACGTGAAGCCAATACACTGGACAGCGAGAGTCATTATCCCATATTGGTTGTCCGGTAATATTCGCGGGCATGTCATCAACTTTGGAAGTAGCAGTGAATATCGACCAAGAGCTGGATTACTATGGTATGCGGCCAGTAAGGGAACCATTACTACGGTAAGTCTATTCTCGCCAACTACTGTGCGTGTGTCTCAAAGTACTGTTCTTGACTAACTGCAACACAAAGGCGACAAAAGCTCTCGCCCTAGAGTACTCTAAGTCTGGGATCCGGTTCAATTGTATTCGCCCCGTTGTTGGTGAGACTGGAATGTGAGTGGTCAAGTTTAATAACAAAGGCGCATTTTGCGTTGAACTAATCCATCATAGGATGCTCAAAGTAATGGGAGGAGAAGACACCCCAGAGGCCCGGCAAAGGCTCTGTAGCACTATCCCGCTCGGGAGACCATGTCAGCCCAGAGATATCTCGAATATGGTCACCTTTTTGGCGTCAGATAAAGCAGAGTTCCTTACAGGTATCACCATGGATGTGGACGGTGGACGGGGAGTGGCTTAGGATTCTAGATACAACCTTCCTTTTGAATGCACGTCTTATCAAGTTCTCGTGCTGCTGAACAGCATAATTAGACCTCAGGCTGAAGAATATTGAGAGCCCCGCCAACTAGATACAAACTTCCTGTTATGAAAACTTGATTTTGACCGCCCTTCGATGCTATATCTCTCGCCAGCTGGATGGCTTCTTCGATCGTTTCCGCTGTTGAAATCTTTGCAGATTGCTCCCTGAGATCAAGCTCTTTCCAAATAGAGGAATACAAAGCAAAATGTTCAGAAACAGACGATTCTGGGACTTTGAGCATTTTATCTATCGCACTTGTTAGCTTCATTTGAAAAGGAAGATTGCATTGGTGCCGAACCGAATCTTGTTGAACCATCTTTTCTCTCCTTGTATGTTGTGAAGATGACATGGTCGGGCGCTGCGTTGTTGGCGAGTAAAGCTAGTGCTAAGTGCCTCAGAAGGGTGGGCCCATCTCGTTCCTCTGAGAAGTGTGTGAATATGAGAACACGACATCTTGATCGCGTATGTCAGCCGGTTTTCCGTTGCATTGACAGTATAGGACTTACTCTCGCTGGCAAGAATTCGTAATATTGGCATACCACTCAGCGGCCTGACCAATACTCAGTTCGTTATGTGCACCATCCAAGAACCACCGAATAACACCCTCATCGATGATTTCAAACCTTCCAGGCCAAGAGAAGCGCTCCACGCCACGAGATATGTCATCACCAGTGAGCTCACTACCGGGATCCTTTGATCGCAGAAAAGCCTTAGAAAGCTCCAGTGCCAACGAGAAATTCAATCGTTGCACGGGTACCCCAAGAACTTTGTCATTGCCTGGAAGCAAGCTATCATTGACTGAGATAAAATTCAAGGTGGTCTCCTTCTCCGCAGCACGTTTCATCATGACAGCTGCGGGACTTTTTTCTTGCGGCAGCGAAAACGCGGGTGAGCCAGTCTTGAATATCCCGGATTTGTGCCACGCAATGTTTTCGATCGTAGGGCCTAACTGCTCGACATGATCAAGCCCTAGAGATGTGATTCCCGTAGCTACGGGCTTTTGTATGACGTTCGTCGCATCGTACTCCCCGCCATGGTGTGTTTCAAAGATGGCAGCCTCGACCTTTTCCCCGATGAATGCGTGGAAGGCCGTTAAAGCTAAGAGCTGCAGAAAGCGAGGCTGTCTGAAGGTCTGAACATCCGACTGGCGATTGACAGAGAATAAACAGTCCCAGACTTCAAAAAAGTATTTTGTGAAAAGATCTTCAGTGATAGGTTTGTCATCGATCTGTATTCTCTCCCGGATACAGCGTAAATCTGGCGAGGTGTAAAGGCCGACACGCTTCGGAAATCCTGTTCTCAGGCCATGGGCGCGGAGCAGGCAACGAGTGAAGGCACACGTGCTTCCCTTACCTTTCGTTCCAGTAACATGCACGATGTTTAACCCATTGATGTCCCTATCCTACAGAGAGTGAGATGAAAGAAGACCCTACTTCAAAGGATGATCTTACCGAATGGCCGAGGAGCTGCAGCCACTCCTTCATTCCAGAGAGACTGGGTAATCCTCGAAGGGCCTGACTGTTTCCCTGTGACTCTACTTGTAAAGGCGCAATAACAGCTTTCGGGCGCGCATTGCGCCGTTGACTATTGAGCAGCTTGAGTGCATTCTAGAAACGATTAGAACGGCGGAAGGAATTGATCAAAAATAACGGGTGATAGAAACCTCATAGCTCCGTAGCATAGTGAGCACTCCACGGGGGCTTTCCAGGCGGTTGCATGGGGTGGGTGGGTAAACTGGGGGAACATCGATTTTCGGGAACGCACACGTGACATCAGATCAGAATTGGTGTCCAAGATATCCAGATACTTATTATCCAGGGCGACAGAGAGTGTATGCATGATGGTAATTGATTCGTAGGTGCCTAGATACAACCAACGCCCAAAAAGACAAAGAACCCCGCCGATCCTCAAATCCGATAATGCGCCATGTTCTTCTTGATCTCGTCCACGATCTCAACAGCCTCCAGTGCATTCCGCGCCTCAAAGTCATACCGCTTCTGCTCCGTCGCATCGTTGCCGCGCAGCACCACCACCCGGAAACTCTTGGGGTGCCGACGGCTGACTTTGCAGCCCACCACGTCGTTGAAGCTGATGGACCGTGTTTTGGCGTCGGAGCCAGCCTTACCTGACTCTCCTGGCATGATGTGCATGTAGTCGTTGTCAAAGGTCAGAATGCGGTGGTTTGATGCCGTAAAAGACATGGACTGTTTGCGGAAGACATGGTAGCGTCGGTAATAACCTCCAATAAGATCTTGTTTTTGTGTCAGCGAGGGTAGCATGCGCTTCCCTTCTTTTTTGCCCTTTTTGACTGTCGTTGGAGGCTGGCTCTCAACCATTAGCGGCGCGTTGGGTGACGAGCTGCCAGGAGACCCGCCCATAGTCAGAGGACCAGCCCCAAACCTACGGCGGACGAGGTCGAGATCGGTGATAGGCCCCAGTGCTTCCACGGTGCGATCCAGCGGTGCGATGGTATTGGATCCCACCACCTTGAGGAGGTAATTCCCTTTATCCAGCCCCCAGCGCTTGCACACTGAGTCAAGGATCTCCGCAATATAGCTGTCTGAGGTCGTGTTGATCGTCATGGCGTGAGCCGAGGCTTCCAGGTTGATGAACCTGACCTTCAGGGTCTTTGAGACACCGAGACGGGGGTGGCGTGGGAGATTGGCACAGCAGGACGATCCGCAGGTGTAAGTGTGCTGTCATTCAAGGCAGATGAGAAAGGATGGCCCAAAATGGGGTTTTGACGAGCCGGAGCTGCTTTGCTCTGTGAAGTGGGTTGGGTGCCTGGCGCTGCCAGGCTTGCAGGTTGGTCGCCCTCAGCAGATCCAAGACTCTGACTGAACTGCGGATAAAGTCGTTCATTCTCCTCGAATTCCGAATCTGACGCTTCCACGAGCGCAAACTCATCGTAAGGCTTTCCTCGTGACCGACCCCGTGCCTTGCTCGCTTGGTTGTTATTCGAGGTGAAATCCGTCATCGGCAGCGTTCGTCCCAGCGCTGGGAAGTCGAATTCTACTTCTCCATCTTCGACCATGCGAAGCGTCCATCGATTGACCGTCAACCTTTCCCGGTTGATAGACGGGCCACGCGCATCCTCGGAGTATTTCCAGAGTGCCGCACCAATCGCTTCAGAGACAGTAACCGGGGCCGGCTGTTTGGCCAGCTTGGACTCTCGCATGAGCGGCAGGTCAAGTGGATCTTCTGGATCCGAGGAAAACGGCACGTAGATTTTTAAGTACAGCGAGTCATCCGGGCTTTGTCCCGAGAGAACCATAAACTTCTCGACCGGGTTGCTCGGTGCGCGCTTGCGAGCCTTGAGCTGACGAGTTAGTAAACTGACCGGCTGAATAGTGCTGATAGGCCGTGGCGGAGGAAGATCATGTAGTTCGGGGGCCAGAACTTTGGTCTTGCGGGGCGACGTGTTCTGGGGTCCTGTCCCACTAGGAAGCTTGTGCATCAAGGCCATAGGGGACGAATCCAAACTTCCAGCAATGCCCACCCCGGCTAGGAGCATGGATCCAGAGCCAGCAGTAGCATCATCAAACTCGGACGAAAGGGCAGACCCGACCGACTCGGCCCCCGAATCTTCGGCTTGTTCAGTCAACTCTCCCAGGGCTAGACTCTCCGAACCTCGGCTTCCAGTCCGCTGGCGCCGTGTACGGGGACGGTCCACCACTTGGTCATTTGAGGAGAACTGAACTGATCCAGGTTTGTAACCTTGAGAATCGCCTTCGTTGTCCGTTGACATGTCACTGCTAGTAGTCGTATCTCGGCGTGGACGCTGCCCCTTGATCGCTGATACGTTCCCCAGAGAGCCTGTACGATAGTGACCTGCGCCTTGATTGTGTGATGGGGCTGTGACCATCACCTCTGGCCGATCACGGTCCTCTGTCGAGCGGATTGGGGACGAGTCAGCCCGATTGCGGTTGATGGGCATCTTGGAGAATTTAATTGCATCGACGGCCCTGTAACGTGTGAGAAGGATATAAGACAGGGTCAGGTACAATGGTTGACCAACCGGTGAACGTTGTTCTCATCATCGTCGCTATCGTCACTTAGGTCACTGCTATCATCGTCCTCCGGCTCAGCCGGACGCTGGGTTTCTTGCTGGTGTCTTTCCCGGCGCCCTTTCTTCTTTCCACCACGTCCGTGATGTCGTCGTCCAGTCACATCCATGTTGCTTTTCCCAGTGACCATGCCCCCTTCTTCATCTTCCCCGTCATCGAGGCCGAGCGCGTCGTCGCGTGCACCGTTCGCATCTCGGGTAGCCAGCCGATAATATTCCGAGGAAACAGCAGCTGTGGTAGGGATCGGTGGAGAGTATGTGCGCTTGAGACTGGAGGCGCTCTGGGTGTTGGGGTTCGCGGACGCGGACCAGCCCGCGGCGCGAAAGCCAGGGGTATTGAGAACGGAGTTGTTGACATTGATCAACCGGTCTCCGATGCCATCCTTGATCGTAGACAGATATGACGAGCGTAATTGCCAGATCGTAAAACTGCACGTTGGTGAGTGCTGTCCTGCAACGCGCGAGTGAGGGGCAGGGCAGTTCCTCTGCGCGACTTACTCTTCATTATGAAGGAGCGACATCTTCCCGATAGCTACGAAGGGAATGCTGGTAACAAGCCACGCAGGTAGCGCAATGCGATCGGGGGATTAGTGATAGGTTGGGGTCAAGGGAGTCGGTGAGGCTGAGGCTGCATGCTCTCGGGAGGGGGCATGCACAGAGAAGGGAGGCATGCGCTCCAAGAAGAAGATATGGGGAACAGAGAGTAAGATAGAGAGTGCAAGAGAGAGATTTAATCTGACAGACAGGACCAGCCTGGGCAAGGAGAAGGAGTGAAGTTAACAGAAGCAGAGGGGGATCACTAAGATGGAGAGGCGGTGATCCATCGATGGCGGTGCCGATCCCTGCCAATCATAGCCGCGAGGACAATCAGCCTACTCACTGTGTAGTAGAGTATAGTGTCGGGTTAAGGTATGGATGACCGGACTACGAGTATCAGTGGGCTCAGATATCTTCAGGTATTGGTCCCGGTTAAAGCACCTGGATCATTCTGTCATTTTCTTAGCGCTGCCAACTGACGATACCAAGTCTTCTAGCCAGCCAAAAGGAGTCAGAAATGTACCAAAAAAAAAAAGACGAACGGCGGATCCAACGCCAGATCTTTCGTATGCAGCAACTATTTACACGTTTGAGTTTTGCTATTTAAGACTAATATAGTCTCCCTAGTGTCACCAAAGAACCTAAGCCCATGGCGATGGCCATGCGCACCTAATGGCTGAGCAACTACGCAGCTGTCCCAATCCTTGAGACCCAGCCATGTTCACCAAAGCCAGAAGGAGAAATGCTTGAATATGACTATGCGCATAGCACTCATTTTCAGATGGAATCACGATTTAGCATGGCAACTCTTTTAGGAATACGCGGAATGTATAGGATAGTATATATGACAAGAGGCTAGGGAGCTATGTAGCAGTCGACTGTCTTTTGAAGCTATTTACAAATATCCCCTACGTCTATCGATGGTAAGAAGTGACTGGCTGTCGTCTGTATTGACCCATTTAAGCTTTGCCTCTCTTCTCTGATTTTTTCTGCTCCCTAATTAGTATTTCATTTCCTAACTCTTTAGCTTCACGTTCATACTTCCGCCTTTGTTTCTCGGCTTCCACGATATCACTATTTCAAGTGAGGATATCCGAGCCCCTGACTCGAAGGGCACCCCATTTAGATGACTGGCGCTTAGTCTTTTTGGCATTGGCCTGCTCCCGGTTCACTTGATAGCGAATGAGGGGGGCAGACATCTAGGCCGCTAGTTGGGCCTGTATAATGCTTCACTCCCAAATCCGCTCAACCTGACTCTTCAATTTATTAATTTCGTGGCTATCGTTGTCTGGGAAGCTCTCTCTTGCCTTCGTGATAATTTTTCTAATTCGCGACTGTCGTTGGCGGTGAATTGATAGTAGAACTTGAAGCGGGGGTGGTGTTTTTGGATCCCAATCAACGCTCCCCTCTTCAATTGGGCAGCTATGATTGAAACCCCATTCTGGAAGCTCGTATTCCCCTGCCTCTATCATAGAAAACTATATCTGGCCGTCATCTGCGAGAGCGGTGAGGACCCGGCTACCGTGGGCGGGTATACGGATGTCACACCCCTCTCTACTCAGGCCTTCAATTTGGACTATTGATGAACTACAAAGTCCTTACTAGCTAAGAATATATAAAATGACTAGACGAACAACTGCTGATCTGGAAATCTCGTACACGAATATGTTTTGCTTATCAAATTAGCATAAATTGGGTTTGCACGCTGAAATGAAGATACAAAAAGTACAAAAAGACATTGGACGATCGGCGGATCGAACGCCGGATCTCTCGTATGCAAAACGAGCGCTTTACCACTAAGCCAAACGCCCATCGATAATTCGATTTCATAAGAAAATGTACTGTGACGGATTATCCGCAGAAAAGAATCCGTCGAGGTGCAGGTCAGATACAATGTTTGCCCTAGCAATTCCCGACCAATAGCTGCAGGGGAAGGTACAGAGTTCTGTAATGCTAGGCACATTATACGGCTTACTTACATATGGTAATATATAGACTATGCTATACCGAATATAGTAGGAGGTTGTCAAGATACATAGTGAAAAATGTCGATTCCCGAGGATACACGCCAATTTCCGTCAACCAATGAGGTTCGAAAGGACCGGATAATGAGATGCATATTGCTAACCTATGGAAGGGCGGTTTAGTAATGACTATGACAGAATTTGTTAGGCCGGAATCGGAGTGCTGATTGAATGTGATACCCGCATGAAGGGGAGGATGATGGTTGATTGCTGTAGGAAGCTATGCGAGAGACTATTTGTATGAGAATAAGAACAACCCTCACGAGCATAGCTAGATAGGGTTGTGAAGCTGCCATTTACTATACCATTGCCCGAAGTCTTAGCCATCCAAAAGAACTGCCAACTGGATGAGTACCGGAGTACTCACTAGTTAACTACGCCATACTCCGTACGAAGAATGAACACGACCCCTTTGTTCGTACAGAGTAATTCTTACTCAAGTCTCCTTTGAAATCAGACCAGAAAGGGCTAGCCGCTAAGCTAACTAACTATTCATGGGTATATAGTTGCTCCCTCCGGAGCTTTCCATCCGTTGAATTTGCTTTCTCTGCATCTCGACCCAACCTACACAATTTGTCCCAAACTTGGCGAACTTCCTATTCTCGTTCTGTTCTTAATCCTTGATGATGTAGTGATTTCCTTCCAACACACTGACACACCATGTCTCATATCCCGACAGGTTCAGGTTCCGTCACCGAACCGCTACGGAGCTTATCCTTGGTGAACAAGGCATGCTATTGGGCTGCCGGTCGGTGCCTCAGAGTCGTTGAATTGTGAACTTGGCTCCCTCTTGGAGCATCTCGAGCCCGTAGAGGAGATTGTTTTGGAAGGGCCCCCTGATGACTTCAGTGTTTGACAGGACCCTCAAGCGGCATGGCCTTACACTACACAGGCTGGCTGTACATCCCTTCAACACCTCTATGAAGCCTCACCCGGACTTCCAACCATTAGTCCAGGCGAGGTTCAGAAAATCGAATCTGATTGTCCCCGGCTGGAATACCTAAGTATCTCTATCCCATACTCAAGCGGCCTAGACGCATGCGATCTCTCCTTAGTCTGCCTAAATCTTCCTCAGCTCAGGGAACTTACACTACATATTGATCGTCGTATATCACGCAACTCACCTGATGAGGCAGACCGGAGGATCTGGAATTTGATAGACAGAGCCAAGACAGGGATTCCTCTGAACCACCCGGTTTTAGTTTACGGTAATGTTTGTCTCCCTCGTCCTTGACCCTTCGAAATACCAAACTTATAGCAATAGGGTACTATGATCTTTACGAGACGCTACAGGGAGGTTCAGGATGTGGTAGATGAAGTCATGGTCGATGATTACACGGAAGCAATCAAGCGCATTCTGGAAGTTTTTGACGGCTTCCTACAGCACGATTTCGATATTAATGTGGGCCTGTGACTGATAAATAGCCAGGTCCGCATAATGTGTGTAGTTCTTCAGCTTTGCGTATCCATGGAGGGTACCGTTAGGAATCGATCGTCCTTCTACAGTTGATCCTTGATTCTATATGATGGGCCGCAGCATGACAGGTAGAGTATTATGTCTTTTTTATCTAACAATAATGAACGCTCTTACCAGTCGTACACAGACACAATAACCCCTCAGGAAAGACCAGGCTTGTGATAATACAGAGCCCCGGAAAATATGCTACAATTACAGGAGGTTCACGCCTTGGCCTTGCCTTTGCCCTTGCGGCCCTTCTTCGGCTTCTCCTCGCTGTCATCGATGACATCGTCGTCCGCCTTCTTCGCCTTCTTGCCTTTGGGAGCAGCGGCCTTCTTCTTCTTGGGCTGGCTCACATACTTGTCCTTCTTCAGATCAAGCTCCTCGTCTTCATCCTTGGCTTCTTCGACAACCTCTTCTTCATCGGACTCTTCAATAGCATCTTCGATATCCGGCTTCTCCTTGGGCCCTTTCTTTGGCGCAACAACGCTGCTAGCCTTCATGAACGGCATCGGGTGTGAGCGAGCATTGTACAGACGCGTGAAAGTAGCCTTGGTCTGCGTTTCCAACTTCACCGTTGATTCATCCATTGGCCCCAGCCCTAACTCGATCATGGCGTCGAAATCGTCGCGAGTAAGGTAATATTGGTCCATGAAATCAATCACATCCTCAACACTCTCCTTGCCTTCATCTCTCAGTCGCCGAACTGATTTATCCCACACCAATGGCAGGTATTGCTGACGGATCTCATCCCGGTTGCCTGTAGTCCGGAGGCGCATATGCCCTTGTATTTCTTTAACAAAACGCGACAATTTTCCTAGAACCAAAGAGTCAGAGATGATAATCGAATCGTTGCATGAAGCATCTTCTTACCGTGCTTGCTATTTTGTCCCAACCAGCTGGTGAACCCGGGCCGATCAGACATGTTGCCATGGATGAAGCTGGCCGGCCGCACAAAACTGAAAATGGCATGAGTCGGCATAAGACTCCATTGTTGCTGAGTGCCATGGATCATTCGGTCGACAAGATCACCGTCACTGATGCTCGAAGCCGCATTATCCGCCAGTTCCAGAAGCTTCAGCTTCTGTTCCCTGCCATGATAACTTGAAGCAAGGGTGGGTCGGGTCTTCAAGTAGTTCTCCTGCAGCATCAGATAACTGAACTCATGGTCGTTGAAATACAATTCAGTCTTGTCGTTCAGCGTAAGATTGGAGTTTGGTGAGAACATCTGGGCGTTGAGAATCTTGCTGACAATGTCCCACGGCTTGAGAATGACATGTTTCTCCCACGCCTTGGACATTTGCTTGCCTTTATCAAAGTCCATACTCTTCTGGTCCAACCTCGCGGTGGACAACATATTGATCACTTGCCGGATGTCGGCATGGGTGCCTTCAATAAGACCATCGAGCACGGGAGGTGGAATCTTCAAGCCTTCTCGGAAGCAGATGGTTGACAGACGAGCGCGAATTTGCTCAGCCGTCGGGCGTCTGAACGGGATGTC